AAAGTACAAAGTAATCAAAACTGGCCCTTGCATTCAACACATTTGACAATCTTAGGCCCCATATTACACTATTTTATGATACATATTATAATGTTGTTTACTCATCAAAAACATACTGTACTTGGAGTTGTGTTTTGTTTCATACTAACATGTTTAACACACAAACCCTGAATATTTAGGCTGAGTTTTTTAATAAAACTGTTCGCCTTGTGATATCATGTGGTAATACAGGAAATGTTCCACTTGTTTTTAAACTTTCACTAGAATCATTTGGATGATTTCAGACCTTCAATTGCCAAACTTTGATCTAAAGGTAAAAGATAACTATTCACTTGAAAACTACAACTTGATGACATCAAGGTGGGACAGAGCATTTTCAGCTTTGGTGATGTAGACAGATGAATAAAGGGTTACTCAAATGTGTGAAGGAAACAAAAAAACAAAACTCCAGATATGTTTTTGATGAGGTAACCACATTCTAACATGAAGTAATTTAGTGTAATATAGGACCTTTGATCTCTCCCTCCTTTTACTCCTCTCACGCTTTCCCCTTCTGACCCCTACTTTTTCTTTATGCTCCCTTTTCTCTCACACTTTTTCCTCCCAATCTCTCCTCCCCCTGTCTGTCCCCCTTCATCTATAACTCTGTCTCATCTCCCTTAGTCTTGTCTTTCATCCCTTTCTCCATCCCTCCTTCTCTTTCCCTCTTTTCCCTCTCCCCTCCACGCCTAGGTTTGTCACGATAACCAATTCTGATGCACAATATTTTTCTAGAGAGAAATGGAAAGATAAACGATAATATTGAAACTACTTTAAAAAAAGAAGCAAGACAATCCCAGTTAAACATTAGTAAATGGACAGTATGATTTAAAAGCATGAGCTGCAACAAATAAATAGTAGAATGAAGCAAAAATTTGCCACAAAAGTTTTTTTTTTTTGTTTGTTTGTTTTTGACCATCCTTCTAAAGCTTAGATCATATTACAACCAAATGACAAAAATGTTTGTACTATTGCAAAGAAAATGTGCATACCATAAATAATGAGCCCAAAAATATATTGTTCCATGTATTGAACAGTAAGTCTATATGGTGGACTAGTTATTGATACTTACGCCCTCTTTCATTTTCTCACTTTGCCCCACTCCCTTTTTCCTCTGCCTCTCCCTTACCTGTGCCCAAGGGCGTAGCTTTGCGTAGGGACGGTGGGGACGTGTCATAACCAATATTTGGGGAAGATAAAATGGTCCCTACCAATATTTGCCATTTTATTTTAATAAACAAATATATACATTTATTCAGATGTTTTTCCAAACTCAGTAGAATAAATTTAACACGTTTTAGTTCACATTTTGTTTATTAGACGTTTTGAGATGTATTCAGTGATATGATGACAGGGTTACCTCTGCTGCTATTTCATTGGCTGCAACAGAATTATGCCATTAGTGTTGCCAGGAGCCTAAATTAGGGAAGCAGTAGGACAGTGTCAGCACCCGAAGATGGCAGCTTGAGCAGGTGTGAGTGAAGACGCAGCACACCAAACTTTGAAAAACTTTTCAAAAGGAAGTTACTTGGCTTCATCTTCAATTAAACTTGCCTTATAATGAGTCGCCGCTGAAAAAGAGCACCTTCCAAATGGAGCCCTACACGTGCACTGTTAGCAGCCGGACTCTTTTGACAATATTCCATGGAAAAAATTATGGACATTACCTCACAAATATCTCATCACCAATTTACCAATTTAATTTAGTGGGATTATACCTATTGTAAATATATAAATGATAATTTTACACCAATCAAGAAGCAATTTTTGAAGAAAAATATGTTCTAAAACACAGGACATAAGCCTGTCACAATAAATACTATATCAACTTATTCAACAGTACATGTTAGATGGGGTAATAATTTTTGAGGGTCAATATTTATCGTGGGTATGTTTTCTTTGTACTACTCAAGAATCTTTTGTTATTTTTCCTGTTTTACTCATAATAGATAAAAACTAACTACCAAAGTGTTTCATTTTGTCATTTAAGGTCATGTTTTTTAACCGTATTATAATTTTAAAACAGGTTTTGGGGGATAATTCTACTTACTTACTAGGGTTATTGTGTCAGTGGCATAATTTAGTTTCAATATTATTGTTTATATTTTCTTGAGCAATATATCGTACTTCAAAATATGTTATTGTGACAAACCTCATGTGACATCAAACGTAAGAAACACATTTTTTTTGGATACTTTAAATATGATTTGAACAAAATAAATGTCTTTCTTTATATTTGTATATGTCAGTCATAATCATTTCTGACTTTAGAGGAATTTTGTAAGGTAACAGTTATGGAATTCCCTAATATGATGTCACGATTTCCAACCAGGAAGTACAATTTTAAACCTTTTTAAATAGAAATCTTAAATAGAATTATCTTAACTGTGTTTTGGTAAAATGAGTAGTCTAAACTGTCATAGGCACTTAAACTTTCTGTCCATCCCTCTCCTCATATTGCTCCCTTCCTGGCTCAGAACCTCTAGGCTACCTCCATTCCAGATCTCTTCTCCACCTCATCTCATCCCTCTCTCCTCTTCCTTTATGCTTCCTTCTTCTCCTTCCTGTTTTCTCTGTCAGTGTCCACCTCCTCTCACTTACCTGTGCCTCTCTCATCCCTCCCCTCTTCTCCTCTCTGCCTCCCTGTTCTCTAACTTTTACCTGCTCTTCTTTCCCTATCCATTTATCCATCCATCTCCTTGTTTCTCTGTTCATATAAACCTCCCTTACCAATGCCTCTTTCGTCAATCTCTCCATCTCCCTCTCCCTCTCTCCAGATGAATCAATGCTGCTCCGTGTCTTGGCGGTGCTAGTCGGAGTGTGTAGGAGCAGAGCGGACCTGCGGGTCGGCTGATTGCGGTTGATTGCGTAACCGTCAGCCATCACAGTAGGAGTCAAGCGCTGTTCCCCTCAAGCACTTTGGCCAACACTCAAATTAACTGAGCTCAAACTTACCTACGTGCCCATTACAGAAAATACATCCCTGTTATCCATTACGTGACACGTGCCTCGTCTGGTTCAGGGGGAAGGGAACAGTGACACCTACTGGACAAAAGCGAGTGGTGACAGACAGTAGAGCATATGACAGTCATCAGTCTCAGTTGGCCTACAAAATATATACACAGAGAGGAAATGCTATAGAAAACTGTTAAAGGTTTGATCAAAGTGTACTTTTATATGAAGGTTAAGATACCCTTTATTGTGACCATAGGGTATTTTGCCTTCATTTGACCCGTTCTTCACTGCCACTGGGAAATTCATGGTCGTCTAAATAAAGGGCCGTGGCAAAAGCTTTAACTATTATGTTTCTCTGTGGATTTAACCCAAATCACATTCACAAACAAAACCAAAACAACTATCTGAAACATAAATACCAAAAAAATACGAAATGTTCATATAAATCAGTCTCTCAGTAACTTTTCATTTATGCTGTTGTCCCATAAAAATTTTGATCTAAATAAAATGATTTGTCGCCTAAGACGATTTTTAGTCGAGTAAGACAACATTGACCAATTAATCAACTGCCTACAGCCCAAATCAGGACTACTGTAGCAGACCAAATGGGTGAGGAGGAATGAGCCAGAGCACTGTGACCCGTTTATTTAGCAGTGAACAGTGACAGTCCGAATCAGTGCTCTTTTATATAGGCACCAGATTCAGCGGTACAGACCATATGCAGACAGATTAGTGCCTTACAATACCTTAGCTTAAGGATTTTACCCCTCTGCATGTTTTGGGTCAAGAGCGCCAGGGGACCCAGCTCCAGATTTAGGCTTGATCAGGACTAGCTGTAGGATTATTTGTATATTAAAGGTGGAACTTTTCAATGATGTTTCAATTAAGTGATGTCCTTCTGTTTGTAGACTTACCTAAAGGAAATAATGCGCGAGATTGGGACGTATAACAGTAAAGGGGCTCATAAGAGCACCTGGGAGCTAAAGTCTGAGTACCGCCATTACCAGTCTGCAGACGAAGAGGAGATGCAGACCTGAAGAACACTTAACTTGCACAGAAAAAACAGGATTTATTTTAGTTTGTATACTTAGAAGTGGTGGTTCTTTAGTTTGCTTAGACTTCAAAAGTAAATGTTTACATTTTTTATTACTGTATTTAAACAAGAAAATAAATGCATTAATGTTATTTTCACAAAGAACTGCTTCAAATTTGTGTTGCTTTTCTAATGGTCTAATGGTGCATGGACTGCCCATGCATCCTAGTTTGAATTTTGCCCTCCAGGACAAGATATTAAGTATTATTGAACTAAGGTAAAGGTACATGCCATTGTTCCCAAACGGAAATAGTTATGTCATCCATCATGGATTCCTTTCGTGTGAGATTAAAGGGTGGTGCTACTGGTTTGACGGGCCTCTGACACAAGACGTCTTAACATTGAAAACATTCTTGCCCATTGAAGATACAATCACACCTTTTGACATCCACCAACTGGGCTTAACACTAACCTTGTACACTGTAATGTCCTCATTTCAATGTTTTTCTGGCATCAATAAAAACTTTTGACATCCACTACATGGCACAAGGTCTCTTGTCCATTCCTGACCTACAGACATGTCACCCTACAACCAAGTACGCTACTATAACTTCAGTGATAGTCACATCTGCTCTGCGTTCAGATTGTAAAATGTAATTATATACAGATGTGACAATATGCAAATCTCAGTACAATATTACGAAGATGCTAACAAGTAAAATAATTTCCCTTTAAAAAGCCCCAATAAGCCCATGATGCCATTAGTCTTAAGAATTCAGGAATGCTCTTTACAAGTAATTACTTCATACTGTGTGCATTAAGGAGCAAGATCATGCAAGTCCCCGTTTTTTAGCTGATACAACAAAACCAATTAAGCAAAGCATCTTAAAATAAAATTGAGACCTTTGATGATACAGTATTAAATCCATTTATGCATTTTGACTCCAAGTGGTACAAATACAACTGATCAAAATTTGGTGGCAATAGATTTTATTCAGAGTCTGTATGACTTTATTTAAACCCAGGTCTGTACAGCCTGACTCATAGGAATCAATGTTAAAAACAGCCAAGACGTTACAATATTGGGGTTTCCAGTCACTGCATGGGCCAAAGAGTGAAGTTAAAAACTAAAATCCATGACCGGTCAGTTCCCATTCCTCAGTCCTTTACTGGTGGCTAGGGGGCGCAAAACGAAATGATTAAAGTTTTCTGTACAGCATGATGCAAAATAGTGCTCCTGGTCTCGGCATTTGGTAGAGTTTGGGCAGCGGCAGTCAATCAAAAAGCAGATGGTTGGGTGGTTACTGCAAAGAGAAATTAGATAACACGTTACAAACATCTTTAAATGGCAAGTTAGAAAATAATGAATTAAACTACTGTACATGTGATCTTTCATTTAAAAATGTAACTGTACCAAAACGTGCATTCTGAAAACTAATTTAGAGTAACTATTTAGTACAGTTACTCTTAAATTAAAAACGGAATACATTGTGGTACTTGATTGTAGTTTTGGCTTTGTGCTGCAAGTTATTAGTGAGAAAAAGAAAACTCGCAATGAGCATGCATTTTTACTTTTCCAATGAGACACAAGTTAATGCATTACAAACAGGGCAATAGAAACATTGGAAATGAAGGAGCAATGTCACCGCCCCATGTGTCAAGGCCATAATTCTTGTCCTTTCCTCTCAACCTAATTTAACAAAAGTTTGATTTCTCTGCTTGCCCATTAGGGTGAAGTTATTTGAAAGTTACAATCGCTTTTAGCTAAAGCTATCACAGATGTGTGGTACTCCATTCAGAGGGCTATACATAAATATGGCGATAGTTCTAATGTATAAGTCCTTGTGTTCACTTCATTTTCAAACAACCAATATGTTGAGTCTCAAACAGTACTTACACATTTCTCAATCTCCAATCCACCTTTGAAGAAGATCATAAATGGAGTTATGCCATCTGAACGATAGTCCAGGAAGCCAATTGTGCCTTCAGGGTTCATCGACTCTCCCGTGAAAAACTGAAAAACATTCAATAAGACACACTTCTAAATACAAGAACTGGGAGGAGGGTAGTAAGTCAAACTGCAGAAGTTTTTATTCTAACAGATAATTGTGATTACTACTACATGGATCAAATTTACACATGACTGCAAATGTCCTGGTGGAGAAAAGATTTGCCATTGAACCTTGGCAATCAGGCTAGCCCATATGTCCCGAAAGATATAAGCATTTAGTAGTGCCATGACTCAGGTCTGCCTTTTGTCCACTGGAAGAGTTTGATTTTAAAAAAGGAAAGAACAAATCTTCAGTAACTGGAATCACAGAAAAACTACAGCAACTATAGTTACAAGAGCCATGCTCTTGTGCTGGTGGGAATTATGTAGATTTAAAAAAATTGAGTTCATTACAGTTTATCCATATTCTTCTAAACACACGTTTGCCTTACCTCAAGTTCCTTGTTTTTAAGCACCATAGACAACATCTTCTTTGATGCCTTCTGAGCGTCCTCTTGGAATTTAGTCAGTTTCTCAGGACAGGTCTCCTCGATCTTTGATTTCAGACTGAAGACAAAAAACAAAACAAAAGAACGTACATTAAATTCAAGTCACAACAATGTTCTTCAGACTTGAATGGGCCAGAACGCAGTTTTAGTTCAGAGTTCTGTATCATGGTTTGAGGAAGTGTTCAACATGGGCATATGCATTACGAGACTTCTAACACATACTAATGTGCACTGTCCCATATTAAATAAACAAAGCCATTTTGTTTAAAATCAAAGGGGGTGTGTGTGTGTGTATATATATTGTTGTCGCTTTATCTAACTGCTGTATGAGCCTCTTCATTTTGGTTGTAAATTTTTGTATTAACCCACTCTACGAGATTGTTTTATCACACAATTTTTCAGTTTAAAATTTTTTTTTCATAATAAGAGAGGCTGGCTCCAAATTCTCTCCTGTAACTGCTGGCATTGTGAGCTTCATTTGAATGGAGCCAAACGCTATGGGTGATGCCACACACACTTAGTCCACTTCTTTATACAGTCTATGGCCACATCACATCGACATCAGCAACAATGCAAGAACTGTCTAAAAATGCCATATCCAAAGGATGTTTAGACAGCATTCACACTTACCCTTTCATGTATGCCTTGAGGTATTTCAGAAACTCCTCCTTAGTTTTGAAAGCAGGAGTTTGCTGGAGGTGGTGGTTAAGGACGATGTCCACGCCTGATTCCGTGGTTTCATCTGTTCCCTCAGTTACCTCTTCAGCAGACGCATTACCGCCGATTAGGGAGTCGTCGACGCTACCAACCTTTCTGCTAATATGCTAAAAAGACAAAGCCAGTAGTGAACTTTAGACATTTAGATTATTATTGGTGGGTTTCAGAATGTAGAATGATTTACATGGAAATATTTAAAAGATTCACAAATGTTCTACCTGATTGTTTCTGCTAATGCTTAGCCCAAATAATAAATATTACAACAAAAATCATGCATTATACATCATCATCATGTAACTAGTAAAACCAAATCTTACTTGGCCTTGAACTTCAAAAAAGAGATCGTCTTCTGTCGTTTCTATTTTGTAGATGTCAGAGAACATCTCATCACCTAAAAAAGGCAAATGTATAGTTAGTCTCCTGAAAAGTTCTGACCACTGCCGGCCCCTTAATTTGGATTATGGCCTGTTGCGGCTCGGGCCAGTATGAAGGTGCGGGGGGATCAGATTTAAAACATTTCTAAATGCAAGACCTGGCACCTGAGGTATCAGATAAACTACGCCATCGGAACCGAAAAAAATCACACAACTCCTACAAGGAGGCTCTCGCCCCGGGTCCATGTTGAGGATTTGGGCCACAGAGGAAAGCTGAAGTGACGTGATATAATCAGAAATCTGGCAAGGGCCACGTCCCGTAAATAACACTTTACGCTAGTTAACCACAGTGCCGCACACGCTAGAAGTATCATAAACGGTAACAAACGTGCTCTCAATGGGTAAAATGAAGAAATACTAGGCTCTAGAACTAACTGCGAATAAGAAAGAACGACCTCGAGTTATTACGAACTTACGAGGCCTAGAAATGTTGCCGGCAAAAGGGTGATTAGCATTAGCTTACTAACGGGGCGGTTTCATGATAACGGGTAGCATCAGGAGGGAAACACGCGCTAGCTTCTGAGCGGCCGAACTTCTGAACATTGTATAAAAACAAACGTACAATGTGGAGTTCAAGGCATAATCAGACAACATAAAGCCAAAAGATTAAAGCCGTTACCGGTCAGTAGACACTTGTAGATGATCATGTTTGCTGCCTCGGTGTTGGTTCTCACACAGTAAAGGCCTGTCGCTGCTGGTGAAGCGGAGGAAAAAGAGCGAGAATAGCGCGACGCAGGCCCTTTACCGCGGCGCGGTGACGTCACCGAGGGCGGACCGATGTAGCGTGCGCGTCCGTGTGCTGGACAAGCCCCTCCCCCCGTCCCGGCTCAAGACCGACTAGTGGACACTCTAGGTACTGCACCCCCGGGATCTTGGGACCGGAGACGCGCAATGCATTTTTTGGGAATTCAAACTTTTGTTTGTTTAAATCCTCAAAGCCCCTAAAAGTTATATTTGTAAGACTTACTCTAACCTCGCTCTGAGCCCGTGCTAGCTCCGCTGTAGCAGCTCTCGCTCTGATTGGTCCAAACGCTGTGGACGTTACAGACGTCACACGAGAAAATAAATGCGGAAGAGAAAATTTGGGGCTCATGCGCCAGTAAACAATACGACGCCATCTTGGATTCACCTTCCAGATTTGATTATAGTTCTAGTCCCCAGCATGAATCACCTATTGATAGATTTGGAATTTATGATTTATTATTTTATTTAATTGTATTATTTATTTGTAATAACCACGAATGACTAAATTTCTTCACTAAACTAAACTGCGTATTTAAACCATTAACTACGGTATTGATTTTGTCATTAGATCCGTTAAAGATTAATCTCCATAGAGGAGGTGGTAAAATCCACTTTCCATCGTGTTTACTTGTTTTTAAATGAACCATGGTTCAAATGAACTCAAAATGTAACACCATTTGAAAAGCAACTTTATTCATCTCCAGTCTGGTACATAAAGCACTATTTAAATTATGATAATCTGTCCTTAATTGCTTTTTTTGTTTGTTTGTTTTTTTTTTTTTTTAGAAAACTAACACCTGATGATAAATAACCATGTAGTCTGTATGAACAGTGCTTTGTATGTCATCAGAGCAAGGTTACCAAAAAAAAAAAATCATTTTTTTAAAATATAAATTCAATGAAATCTAAAATAGCAGATTTCTGGGCACATTGTGATCAATAGGTGCTTTTTACGGATAACCTGACTTAACCAATAAGATTAAGACTTATAAACAACGAAAGAGACAGGTGAAGCACATTCAAACTCAGGACACGTTCAAAAAAGACAAAAAACACAGACAATAAAAAGTAGTCAATGTACAACTATACAAACAATGTCAAAATTATTGACAATGACAAACCACCTGTTCCAATGTCAAAAACCATTTCCTTATGCACCCAATTTTGGCATAGCCATTTAGAATGTGTATGCATCTATTAAAATGGTACCAAGTCCTTTATGAACTGTGCTGTATTTGTTGCCCCCTGACATTAATTTTGTGAGAAGTGCATTACTGTGTAATTTCTGACATGTAACTTGAAAGGCTAGAGCTGACCGCAATTGGTTATGACTAGTTTCTTCGCCGGGACACCCCCTTTTGTGCCGTGCTCGCCCATTTTCTTCACCACATTCATGCCGTCTCGAACCCATCCAAAGGCAACATGTTTAAAGTCCAGGTGCTCTGCTTTCTTCAGCGTGATGAAGAACTGGGAGTTGTTTGTGTCACGGCCACGGTTTGCCATTGACAGGATCCCTGGGCCTGTGTGTTTGATGTCAAAGTTCTCGTCATCAAATTTGTCACCATAGATAGATTTTCCTCCAGTGCCGTCGCTTTTGGTTATGTCACCACCCTAAAAGTAAAAAAAATAAAAATCTTTTAAAACTGAATGCATAAAATATTTAGATATCCTCATTGATATAATAACTATAAAGAACATATAGAATAAAGAATATAACTATAAAGAATATAAAGAACATAATTAGATTTTTAAAACTTTCTGCTAGTTAAAACTGATGCAAAATTAATAAGCCAAAAAACTAAAACAGATAAAACTACTCCCTGAAAATAAACTTGAACGATGAATAGTATCTGGGATTTTGGGTATTCATTTATTAAGAATATTACAATTATTAATGAAGGATCACATTAACTTTAATTATATACACTCTTAAATTACTATACACTTAATTGTCTTAATTGTTATTATGCCAATTTATTCACTGTAGTCCGTTTTTGTTTGCTCTGCATAAATGTTGTGAATTTCTTGTACCATTAATTCCATTTGAATAAACTGAACTGCCCATCTCTCATGGCTCAGATTAGAAGACAAATTTAAGTGTCACTTGTTGTGTGTACTTTTTAGAACTGTATACCAGTAAGAAACCTGCTTGTTTGTATAGCTTTTTGCATTATTGGAGAGATCAGCACAACAACTTTTGTGTAGTAGGGTGCACATCTTTGTTACTTTGAGTTAATTTAAGTTACTTATTTTCTGTTTACCTGAGTTAACAGTTTTGTAATTAAGTTATCTGAAGTCTATTTTAAATACATTTTGTCTGGTCAAAGACACTTTTTTGTTGAAGTCTGCCTCTTTCTTCAACCACATCAGGCCAGCTTCCCCACAACACAACAGGCTCTATTCATGATTATGTCACAAACCAGGAAAATGTTTGGCAACATGTGATGACAACTTCCGTAGTTACCAACACTTGGCCCGCCTACCGACTGTGATAAAACCCACTGAAGTAAATGTCATCAGTGGTAAAATGAAGACTGCATATGTATGTGCTGTTTGGAATCATCTTGAATTTGGTGCAGTCATCTCTTCTAATCACATGTACCCAGTGCGCTCAGAGTTGTGCGTCAGTGGGGAAATTATGAAACCTGAGGTATGGTTGTAATTGTTTATTAGTTGAACGTAACGGAACGCTACAATGACATGGAGATGAAGAAAACTGGGCAATTTTCTCAATTTTCCTAGATTTTGTTGTTGTTGTAACCCGAGCCGTCTTTCATCATCGTCTTCTAAGTTAGTCCTTGGAATTCTGCAGCTCCTATGGGTTCTGTCCATAGAGTTCCCACATGGAGATCTGGTGGTACTCGCTTTGTAGCACAGGTGAAGAGGTGCTGTATTGTGTGAGATGGTTGTCAGTGTGTCAGTGATTTTAGTGTCAATCCGAATGAGGTATGAGTTCAAGAGCCGACTGTATCCTGAGCGCAGCTAAGATAGAGTGCACCTGGTGTCTCTGGGCAGCTGCAGTTCTTCATTGCTCACTTCTGGGACAGGATCACCTGAGTGTTGAGCCCAGACAGACGGGGTATAGGCTGAGGCGGCTTGTGCTGTCATAAGTAGGTGTATAAGCCAAGCTTCGTTTCTTTAACTGTCCTCATTAATGCTGGTGTTGTCAATGCCTATGATTTCTTTGACTTAATCTCTGAACAGGATGCTCAGTGTCTCTCTGATGTTACGGTTTCTGTCTGAGGAGAGAGGGATTTTGTCACTCCTAAATTTTGTCAAACTTACTACTGTGAACGGAGCCTGCCGGAAATTGTCATTGCATTTTTCCAAACGTCTTCTTGGTTTATGACGTGAATATAGCCTACTGTCGGGGATTGTGTTGCTTGCAGTTGTTTCCTTATTGTTTTCTAATTTCTGCCAACTAATTGTGTCTTGAAAACACATAACAGAGAATCAAATGTCTAGGATAGTGTCAGGCAGTTGGTTTCCCATGATTCTTTGTAACGCTGTGCCTGATTGGTTGAAAAATGACCCTGTCAGCAGCTTCTGTATTAGTTATTGCCAGAGAAAATGCTATGTAAAAAAAAAAAAAAAAAAAAAGGAAAAACTGACACTGTAAAATATAATCTCTTATTTAGCAGCTTTTACAATGCATGATGAAGAGAATTTATCTTGACAAGAATAAATTAAAATCTGCTACAGACCCATTACACTTTACTAGTCTTACCTGGCACATGAAGTCTGGTATGACTCTGTGGAAGATAGAGCCTTTTAGCCCAAAGCCCTTCTCGCCGGTGCACAGAGCCCTGAAGTTTTCGGCCGTTCTGGGGACGATGTGCGAGAACAGTTCGATGGTGATAGTTCCCAGGTTCTGTCCATCAGCCTCCACAGAAAGGAACACCTGAGGGTTTGAGTCCTGTGAGTGCTCCTGGACACGGGACATGTGCGGCGAGGAAACAGAGCCCTCCACGTCCTCTCCGATTCGACTCTGACACTCACAAAAAGTCTTCCTGAAAGACTCTGTGATCTCAGCTGTTTTGAACTTAGCGGCCAGCTGCTCCACGGCACCCTCTCCATCTAAAAAATACAAATATATAACATGTAAGCTTGAATAAGTGAAATACAATATATTATCAATAGTGAATGTTTGGTTATGTAATTTTGGACATTATTGCCAATCAGAATAATTTAACATGGTAATAAATAAGGCTGTGCAAATGAAGGAAAGTTGACATCTACAGTCAAGTCCCCAATTATTCATACCCCTGGCAAATTTTGATTTAAAGTTACTTTTATTCAACCAGCAAGTTTTTTTTTCGCCTCCCAAGAGATAAGACGATGTACAAGAAGCATCATTGTGGAAAAAAATATTTTTCAGCTTTTATTTACATTTGAACAAATAGTGGTATGTCCAAAATTATTCATGCACTTTGCAAACTGTCACAGTCTACAGGAAAATTAAGAGTTCTATACAATTCCAAATTGCCCAAGCTGTTCTAAATCATCCTAATTCAATAGAACAAGTGAAAAACAGCAGGTCTCTGCAGTTGGTTTGTGAACAGTCATGGCTAAGCCAAAGGAGCTCACTGAGGATCTGCACCTGTGTATTGCTCACAAGTCAGGAAAGGGCTACAAGGCCATGTCTAAATTTTTTCATTATTAAAAAATACAAGACGTTTCGCACTGTGGATAATCTCAGAGGACGAGGTCGGAAGCCAAAAGTGACACCTGTGCTGGTGGATAGTGAGAGAGGTGAAAAAGAATCCAAGGATCACCACCAAGGCAGACAATCCAACACTGCATACTGCTGGGTTCCATGGACGCAGACCGAGGAGGACGCCACTTCTCCAGATAAGGTCAGATGAAACAAAAATTTAATTGTTTAGCCACAATGACGTATCCTTCTTTTGGTGTTAAAAAAAAAAAGAAAAAAAGAAAAGAAAAAAGAAGCCTTCAACATCCCCACTGTCGAACATGGGGATGGGGACCTAACGTTTTTCAGCCAATGGACCAAGGAATCTAATCACAGTAAATGGCACCATGAACAAAGAGCAATACATCAAGATTCTCAACAACAACATCAAGCAGTCTGCAGAGGAACTTGGCCTTGGGCACCAGTGGACATTTTAGCATGACAATGACCCAAAGCACAGCAAAAGTGGTGAAGAAATGGTTATTGGACAAAAACTTCACTGTTTTGCAGTGGCCCAGCCAGAGTCCTGACTTGAATCCAATTGAGAATCTGAGGAGGGAGCTAAACATCAGGGTGATGGCAAGGAGACCCTCCAATCTGAAAGCATTGGAGCTCATCGCTAAAGATGAATGGGCAAAAATACCAGTGGAGATATGTTAAAAAAAAAAAAAGGTCAGCAATTACAGGAAGCGTTTGATTGCTGTAATAGCCAATAAAGGCTTTTCTATTGATTATTGAGAAGGGTATAAATAATTTTGGACATGCCACTTTTTGTTAAAATGTAAATAAAGGCTGAGAAATATTTTTTCCACAATGATGTATCGTCTTATTATCTTCTGGGAAACGCCTGTGCCATTTTCAATCAAGAAAAAACTTGCTGGTTCAATAAAAGTAACTTTAAGTCAAAATTTGCCATGGGTAAAAATAATTTTGGGCTTGACTGTAAGTGTGACATAGGGCTGTGCAATTAATCACTATTATAATGGTGATACCAATTTCATAATTGCTCTGCTCAGTTACAAAAATGTACCAAAAAACCCTTTCTGTTCAGAATGATCTGTGCGTTTGTTCTACTGGGCAACACTTTGAGCAAAACCTCTCATCTACAGAGGCTCTGAAAACAACCCTGTAAGTATATTAGGTCTAAAGTAGACCATTTCCACAGGTTAAATTTGGAAAGTAATTGTAAATCTATTTGTTAATTTCAATTATGACCCAAATAATTGTGATTATGTTTTTTGCTGTAGTTTAGAAGGCCAAGAGAACTTAAAAGATAGACTGTTACAAAGTCAAGTTAATTACACATAAAATCAAGAGTCTCATACCAGAGTAGTCGGTGGCGTTCCAGACGAGGGCGTTGGGCGACACATTCATGGGTTTGAGCTCCATGGTCTTAGTGATGGTGTGGTTGGCACAAACCTTGAGGATCTGGTCTCGCCTCATCAGGACTCTATAGTAGTGTTTTACAGGATGGTACAGGATTTTGATGTCGCCCACTCCACGCTCCTTCCACTGCCCCAGTTCTCTGTCCCAGCGGTACAGCTTGGTCCGCTCCTTAAATAGGATCTCTTCATCCTCCTCCCCTGACTTAGTCTCCACCTGAGATGCAAGCAAATTATCATTAAAACAGGTAGTACTGACTTTCATTAATATACAGCAGACCATATACCATGAATATAAAGGGATACCTCGAGTGAATTATATCTATCAAAGTTTTATTTTTATGACATTAACCTATTCAAAGAGGCACTGCCTTTATCTTCCCTTGTCCAGAACTACAACTAACCAAAGAATGTTCAAGTACAGAGGGCCTACCCTCTACAATAATTTAGCTCCTATTCTCAAGTCAGCTTCTCCACACTTGATTCTTTTAAAACGTTATTATAACTAATATTAATGCATACAAATGTCTTATATTTCACCTGATGCCTGTTCAGTCTTCCGTTATGCTTGCAGGATGATTTTAAGGGAGGTGGTCTTATAAAACAATATGGTCTTCTCACTCTCCTTTATATAATTTTCTCCATTTTTACTTGGATGTGCAAATAGTCATTTTATAATTTGGCCACTTTGTAATTGCTGATATCTCTTCAAGATGGATCACCATAAACGTCATCACAACAAAGCACCATGATGACGGACCATGCTTATGGCCACAGCCCTGTGGATAGCTACAGTTCATAATAGCGAGCAGTGATTTTTCAGTTTCATTCATACCTAAATGGTTACACAAGTCTGAGGTCCTAAATCCTATGTGTATCACAGTTTAATACAACCCCCCCCCCCAAAAAACGAGGAACTTATCTACCTATCTACCTTCCTATCTAGCAAAAAAATACAATGTTTAGACATATTTAATTGACTGTACTGTAGGTTAGCCAGCATTCACAGTCTTCATATGCATATCTACAGAAACTAGAAGGCCTAAGCTTTAAAATGACGCATCACACAAGCATGTGGGTTCTAAGATTTTTTTTTAATAAGCTATGGCATTTGGGTATGTAGTGCTATTGTGCACACGCCAAAATTAGGTGGATGGGAACAGGTTAAAGAAGTAAATCTGAACTATTCCAAAGAGAAATAGTTCTCTGACTCAGATTAGTAACCTGATTTGGGCATTACCTCTGGCAGTGACACAATTGGCTCAAAGTGAATGTCCACATTATTAGGAGCCTCCTCTTCCTCATTATCTTCATCATTTTCACCAGTAGACTTTGATGTTGTGGGTGTGGCAGACCCAAAAACAGTGGCTCCTGCATTGGCCCAGGAGAAGTCTGAATCTGGGGGGAAAAAAAAAACATCAACAATTATACTAATTCAAAAACATCCCTAAACTTAAACTGGACTGTTAATCTAAATAATAACTCCAGGTTTAGTTCAGGCAGATTTATTCAATAACCGCCATGTTCACTTGCACCACAATAGCAGCAACTCTATCCTCACATACATGCATGTAACAAGTGCAAAAGGAGCTGTAGGGCCCCCTAGCTGTGAGGCAGAGAAGGTAAACATAAAACCAAGAGCTAACAATTTCTTGTTAGTTTTACATTTTGTTAAAAGGGCAAAGGGCTAACCTGATTTTCCAAATGCAAATCCATCTGTGTTTTTGGCCAAATCTGCAAACGAAAAGCTGCTCGATGTGCTGAAGCCAAACAAAGGGGTGTCACCTAGGAAATTATAATGCACTTTAGGAAAACACTTAAAAATTACTCAAACATGCATAAACAAATCAACCATTAAAAGTAGCAAGGGAACTAATGCAGACAAGGACAAGCAAAAGTGGCCATAGAATGAGAATAGTTTATTAATGACCACACAAGTTGGTAGAATTTGTTTCCGGTATAGCAAGAAATGCATCCTCAGTGTCAGTAACTTAACATAACAGGACAGACAATATATACACTAAATACAATATGCAACAGATAATAAACAGATAAGGGAATAACTGAGAGTCCAAATGACTAAGTCAATCTAACCGACTTTGAAGTGATTTGTAGCGCCTCCCGGACAGGACAGTGTGTACAGGTGAAAAGGTTTAACATGAACCTCCAATTATATGCATAAAGTATAAACCTGGTATGTAATGTCGTGGTAGCAGTGAAAGGTTGCCTTACCTTGAGCGTCTGCAGTGTCGTTATTTGTTTCTGGCTCTGAGCTCTTCTTGGTGGATAAGTCGATGGGGGCGCTGCTGGTGGGGGTGGTACTGATGCTGGTGCTGGTGGTGCTGCTGCTGATGGGAGGAGGAGGTTCACTCTGGGTCTCTTTGGGCTCTTCTGCAGTGTGCTCCTCACACACAGGGGGTACTGTGGAGGCCTCCGTGCTGCCTGATGCTTGCTCCTCTGAGGGTTGAGGAGGTTCACTCGCCGGTTGAGGAGGTTCACTCGCCGGTTGAGGAGGTTCACTCGCCGGTTGAGGAGGTTCACTCGCCGGTTGAGGAGGTTCACTCGCCGGTTGAGGAGGTTCACTCGCCGGTTGAGGAGGTTCATTCGCCGGTTGAGGAGGTTCACTCGCCGCCTGGGGAGGTTCATTTATCTTGCTTTCCTTTGTAGTGCCTTGTAACTGTGCATCCTGAAATTAAACATATGAGCTCAAAGAGTCCAGCAAGTTTCATTTTTTGGAACCATAGGAATTTCCCCTAAACTAAACAGCTTAAATTAACTAGTTCAAGCCTCTGGTGAGAGTTAGCATGTTTTACTAACTAACTAACCAAAAGTGCGACCTGAAACCTTTAGTTTTCTTAGAATGATATGCAATATGCAAGAAATTTTGCGCTATCATAAAACTGTATATGCTCTACAACTGTAAGCTGGATCAATCCCGTACCAGAGCTCGCTGAGCCTTGCGGACCTCTGTCTCGAAGTCTTCGTTCTTGTCGTGGTCTGTGTCACTATCTGGACTGATTCCACAGAAGAAGTGAGGGGGCAGCTGCAGACTGAGTGCCCTCTGCTCCTCCTCTGGGGTGGGCTTCTTCTCCCACACAACCACACAGTCTGCTTCTGATGGGACAGAAGATATAATGTGATATCTTAGTTTGTGTCAAATTATGCTAGCTGATATTTTAAACCACAATAGACATTGTAATGTCTACATGTGCTCTAGACTGCACTAGCCTGTTAGCAGCTGCTACATACAGATGAAAAACCAATCGTTGTAGTTCTAGTTACATACTACCCTCTCACAAAGTCAGACTAACATTCCATTCAGTCTTTGAATACTAAACAAACGCTGACATTAGGACAAGTGCTAGGGTGACAAATAATATAATCTTGTCCACAATTATTTACAAGATAATGTTTTATAACAAATCATGGTCAAAAATAATTCAAACAGACTGAAAAACCTATTTTCAGATACACGTGTCAAAAAAGTGCTAAAATATCTATGAACTTGACATACCATCTTGAGCAGCCACAGCCTGTTCCTGTGGAGGATCTGGGTACAGCCTACCATTTAAAGCCTTCACTGCTGACTCATAGGTCTCATCTGAAAATTTACACATTTTATTTTAGTACAATTTCTGTTAAAAGACAAGTATGCCATGATAGAAGTTCTTGGTAGGGAAGTACTTGTCTAATGGTATTGAGGTATTTTTTGAGCTTGAAAACAGAATTTACATTTGATTTACAGTAATTGTATTTTAATTCTATTCATGGTTTATGTTTAAGATCTTTACTATAGTGAGAATTAAAGGGGTCTTTTGTATTTCTCCCACATGAGATGTTTCAAGATATCTGTCCATTTTTTTTAGCATGTAACCCTTGATTAATTCAGATTTCAACTTAAGTTTTGTCCAGAAAGGAAAACAGCAGAAAGGAGAGGTTATTTGACCAAGAATTACTTTAGTCACTAACAGACATAAATAATAGTACCGTACTTTTGCTCATATTATGTTATATTATTTAGCTTTGATTTAAGCCTAGCCCATATTGTATGGCTAAAATATAGATGGGACTTAAAAAACTACTTTAGTCTATCCATTTGTCAAGTAATAATCTCACCATCCTCTGACTCATCACTGACGTAGCCCGGGTCGTTCTTGTAGCAGAAGAAAGTAAGTGGGAGTTGGAGTTTTTTGGCCAGCGCTGCCTGTTCAGCAGTGGGCTCTCTCACATACACTATCTCCACATCAGAGTCCTCGTCTGAACCTCCACTTCCTCCTTCTGCCACTGGAGGTGCTACAAACCAAGACACAAGACAGCTCAGATACAAGTTCCAGCAACTCTATTCAAGGGTTAATTTCACTCAAAAAACATGCAAGGCAGAGCAAACATTAAGTTTATGTGAAAATAACATAACATTAAATGGAGCACTGTACACTTGCGATACTTTGAGCCAAAGCCCTAAAGAATGAATTATCTCATCATTCACAGACAATCTTGTTACCTGATCTCTGATCTCTACAAACATGGTCTGAAAACAGTGAGATTCTTGTATTAACTTAGCAGATCATATTTTGATTTTCTCACTGGAATGTTAATGCTCCTGGAGTTGTTTACAACGTCCAAAGAATCCTACTTTTTAACCTATAGTGAACGATTTGTCAGACAAATTTCCGATCTTTGGATTTATTTCCTTAATTGTGCAATTATAAAGTTATTTTTTCAAAGGACTACATATAATCATTAAAATAAAATAAACAAAATGAAATAGTTTGTATCATCCTGTAGCTGACTTTTTCTACATGTGGTTACTGCATTGATAGTAGCCATTCATGAGCCAAAGTTTTAATTTAACACTTGGAGAGGAGTAGCATTTCACACTGTTGCTAGACTTCCTAATCTAAATCTGGTTTAAGTGACGTTAGCATTCTTTTACTGGGACACCCCACTGATGAATGATCTCTGCATATCATCTTTCAACACATGCACCCTTTACACGCATTAGCCATATCTAACACTCACCAAACAACACGCAAGGATGTAATATAATATACAATACCAACAATATGCAATTGAGTAACAGAATTATAAAGTGTAATCTACAAACACAGCTTCAGAAAGTCTCCCCTCTATTAGGATGCACGAAACCTGCTAACTTAGTAGTTTAGATATTCCGCATGCAATTTTTGTACTATAACTGTATTACTGTACTTTAGTTTCATCATCATTCATTTTAGTTAATTCTCAAAAGGTGCTTGCGACAGGACACTGGATAAGTGAAGAGACTAGACTGGTGCAGGTCCTAAATTTAAACTATCACACATCACCATCACAATGATAGTATTAGTTTAACAAAATGTTTATCACAACCCTAAAAATGTAAATCATGCAGTTACATACTTTTACAAAGCAGATGTTGCCATTTTTGTTTTATTTGTTAAAGAGTTTGTAAGAGTCACAATCTGATGAGTATTTCGTTATTTTAAACTGAACACAATCCTATCCTACCAACACTAAAGTACTGGTATATATAGATTTTTTTCTTTTCAAACATCGCTCATGCAGTTAGCTTCACTGTGTCTGGCCCCACTCTCCATGCACATGAGTTAGGTCTAGTGGGTCACACACTGCAGAGGTTAAAATACCTGGAGGATCAAACTGAGTGGTAGTTTTGCTGCTCCAAAAAGCGATGGGGTTATCATAGAAAAGTTTAAGGTCCAGCTCTAAAAGGAGGATTTGTCAAACAATACTAATATGAATACTGCTGTTTTATATTTATTGTTTACTATAAAATATAAGTAATATATTTTCTTTGTTTTGTATTTTTGAATGTTTAACTTATTTGAAATGAATAGACCCATCAGCAATATTATAATACTCAAAATATAATATAACCAATGCATGTATATCTGAATGATTAAAAGAAATGATGACCATGGACATTAAGGCTGAATGATCTATCATTTTGGGCTGAAAATCACGATCTCAGACAACACTATTTTGGTACTGTCAAAGTTGTGTTTTCTTGTGCGTGCTCCTATCTGACCCAGGTTTTGTTTTGTCAACTATTTCACACATGTATGCTGTCTCCCTGCCATGCTGCCAAGCTCACCAATCAGAAGCAGCATGCTGCGCGTGGACAGGTTACGTATTCTAAACTCCAATCAGTGTAGCTGGTGATCAATTTCAGAAATAGCTTCAGCAGGACCAGAAGTGGAGTCAGGGGTTTTGAACCCAATGGAAAACAGCACGCTGGTCATTTGGCAGTATTTCGGGTTTGAGGCTGCTTTATTCCGTCTTCAGTACAAATACAAATTCAAAGACGCGACTCTACTGAACCAGGACTGAGTGTCAGGACTGGCCTGGACCGTCAGGTGACCGCAGGCGAAAGGACCGGCGCAGAGCTCTGCCCCCTACGGGGCTAAGCGCAGTCGTCACCCGATCACGCTTTGTGGACACCCTGCCCTGTGTGCTTGGGGTTCTTCCTCGCTCTCTCAAGTCCAAGATTAGTCCTAGTTTAGTCCTGGTTTTGTCCTGGGTCAGTTCGTACGCAGCGCAAAAGTCCAGCAGCTCAATCAATGTTTCTTCTGCTCAATAAATAATGCCTGTGAAGTGATGACGGATTTTTGACAGTAAAGTAGCGCCTGTGAATTCATATTTATACTGAAGAAAGCATAACCGTACATTTTCATTTTGATTGTATTTCTTGAGGTCGTAACCTGACCCGGTGCAGGACTCTGGTATGATGTAAGTTTCTGTGACATTTGCACTCAAACTTGACTTGAAAAAAAATAAAAAAAAAAAAAATGTGGATGAAATCAAAATCGCAATATCTGCCACAAATATCGCAAATTACATTTTTTTCTTAAAATTGTTCAGCCCTAATGGACATAGTAATTAATTAACATTAAAATGTTATATCTTATGGGAATGAAAGTCATCAAAATGTCAGAAATAACAGGAAGCTGAAATTAAAATTAATATGTCCATGTCCACAAGGGATTAATTCTCAAGATGGATTCACTAGCAAATATGAAATGCACTTTCAAAATGTGAATTTTTCTTACCATTATCTGGTATCGTGAATGTTGGTCCTCCCGATGCTGCTGCTGAGGTTAGTCCAAAACCTTTAGCTTTGGTGGTTATAGACTCTGCAGTGATCGAAGTGGATTTTGGAGAGCCAAAGATCTTTTGTATGCTGTCTGATCCAAACACAAACTTGGGTGGAGACATGACTGTTTTGGCTACAGTGGTTGAAATCGTCTGGCCCTCAGCTGGACTTGTCTCAGGACATGGTTTGCTCTTCTCTTTTGTTGTTTCTTCTAGTATTGCGATTGCTGCCTTCCCACAAACTGCAGTATCACGTTTGGATGGAGTAGAAGTAGTAGTAGTAACAGAAGTTTCTAAGGGTGTCACTGGTGTCATCAACTCTTCTTTATCTTGTGCGATTTTAGCTTCATCAAAGACCTGTTTAAAGGTATTAGCCGTGTCTTCTAGCTTAAACCTTACGGCTAGCTGCTCAATTTTACCATCCACCTGATCAGAAAAATCCATTGCAACCCAGACCCATGCCCTCTCTGCTCCCTTCATTGGCTCCAGTTTCATTGTTGCCGTTATCCAATGGTTTGCACACAACTTAAGGACTTGGTCTCTCCTCATTATAAGTCTCACACGTTTTGTTGTAAGATTTTGCAATATTTTGAGATCACCAATGCCTTTTTCTTTCCACTGGTTCACATCATAGCGATAAAGTTTGGCTCTATAGCAGAAAACTACTTGTTCATTCTCCTCACCAGTAGATGGCTCCACCAGTTCAGGCAGAGTGCAGACTGGTTCAAAATATTGGCCGTCTCGCTCTTCCTCTTGAGCGCCATCCTCATCATCAGTGCCCACTGATGCTCTGCTTTGGTTAAGCTTAGCAGGTGATTTTGACGGACTTATCAGTGGCTGGAAATTGAAGCTAAACCCGCTTGATGCCTCGCCAAAGCAAAACAGGTTTTTTCTCAATGGACTACTTGTAGTGGGGGATGCATACACTGATGTTTCGGTTGTATCATCTAATGCATCTTCTCTTAGATCATAGTTGTCCCATTCAAGCGCTGGTACTGTTGTTTCGTTTTGAGATTTTATTACAAAACTGCTCTCCGCTTCCTCATCTTTTAATTTCGTCTTGTCATCTGTCAAAAAGATTTTTAAATCCTTCAACCCGGACTTCATTTCTTCTGCTTTCTTGATAAGATGTGCAGTCCGTCCAGTATCAACAAGTTTGTGAGGCGTCTGCAAGGGAATATCGAGCAAAAGTCTCTGGCATTCTTCAAATTTCTGCTTGAACTCTTGTGCTAGCTCTACAGTTTTAAATTTGGCAGCTAGCTGCTCCAATTTAGCATCTCCATCTGCAAAGTCGTTGGCAAGCCACATCCATGCCTTGTCCGATCCAGCTAGAGGCTTGAGATTCATTGTTGTGGTGATCCAGTGGTTTGCACACACTTTCAGCACCTGCTCCCTTCGCATTAAAATTCTTAGTCGACCGTTGCTGCTGTTTTTGAGGAATTTGAGCACTCCAACCCCACGTTCTTTCCATTGGCTACTATCAGCATCAAACCTAAATAGTTTTACCCTCTGGGAGTACATAAGCTCCTCATCTTCTTCACCTGTCACCAATTCGACTTTATCTGGCATTTGGACTACCGGTTCAAACTGTATATCATCATTTTCTTCGGTCTTGTACATGCCATCATCCTCACCCTCTTTTGCAGTTTCTGTTTTTGAGGGAGTGGCTTGAAATGAGGTGAACAACTGTTCTCCAGCTCGAGTGAAACCTTTAAAATTTGGATCTTTTTCACCAAATTGGAAGCTGTCACCTGATGACTTAGCTAAATCTGCAAAACTAAAAGCATCAGTTTGTCCGGATACAAGTGGGTTTTGATCTTGTTCAGTCGTAGAACCCTCTTTAGGGGCTTTTTCACCAAATTTAAAACCACCGCTGGATGTTTTAGTGAAATCTGGAAAATTTTGTATGTTGGGCTTTTGTGCTGGTTCTGTTGTAGCAGCCTCGTTTTCATTATGTTTGTCTGCAATGCTTTTCAAGAAACTAGACGCAGAGCTGGTGGGTGGCTCCTTGGCATCGGTTGCATCTTTTGCCGTATCTTGAGTACCAAACTTGAAGCCCCCTGCTGGCATTGAAAAGGAAAACCCTGAAGAAGATGTAATACTAGAGCTTGTTTGTGGGGCTTCAAATTTAAAAGATCCAATAGAACTCTCTTTATCTTTGCTTTGACCAAACTGAAAAGAGGTGCCTGCACTCCCAAACGTAAATCCACTTGAAGACGGCTGGTTTGATGGAGATTTTGACTTTATACTAAAACTAAACGAAGATGCAGAAGGAGCAGCTGTGCTAGTTTTTGTGCTTTCTTTAGCATTAGGATGTGGAGCTTGGCAGGCAACACACTTCTGAGCTGAAGGACTATTTCTCAAAAGACAAGTGTCGCAATCCCATTCTCCTTCCTTCTTGGCAAACCTTGCGTCGAACGGGGTGGGGTTAGGTGCACTGCAGGATACACATGCTGGAGCTGAGGCCTCATTTCGGACAAGGCAAGTATCACAGTCCCACTGACCAAGCTTTTTGCCAAACTGTGCTGCCAAATCAATGTCCTTTTTAGCAATAGGAGCAGGGGTACTTTTTGTTTCAGATTGCTGAGGGGGTGTCTCTACCTTAGTCGACCCTTTCACAGATTTGCATGAAGAGCAGGCATCAGTGGAAGTGTCATTTTTGGTGGAGCATGTGTCACATGTCCACTGGTCGGACTTTTTACCAAATCCAGAACCAAAACCGGAGAAAGAATTATCTATAACATTGGCTGGCTTTGTTGTGCCAAAAGTAAAAGATGATGGCATAGACAATCCAAAACCACTAAATTCAGAAAATCCTGATGAACTTGCTGGTGTGCTAGAAGTTGAATCTATTCCAAATTTGAATGAAAATGGACTGCTTTTCACCTCTGTTGGAGCTTGATCATCTGTTGATTTTGCATTGGGGTTAGGAGTTTGACAAGCTGCACATTTTACAGTTGATGGTTTATTTGTAATACAGCACACATCACATCTCCATTCCCCTTCTTTGGGTGCAAACTGCTCAGCCAGTGAATCGGTGCGAGCAGACAAATCAACAAAAATTGAATTGCTAGACTGAGTTGAATCTGTTCCAAACTTGAATGAAAATGGACTGCTTTTAACCTCTGTGGGAGCTTGATCATCTGTTGATTTTGCATTAGGGTTAGGAGTTTGACAAGCTGCACATTTTACAGTTGATGGTTTATTTGTAATAAAGCACACCTCGCATTTCCATTCCCCTTCTTTAGGAGCAAACAGCATAGCCAGTGAATCACTGGATGCAGGAAAGCCAGCTGAGGTTGAAAAGCTAGACTGGGTTGAATCTGTTCCAAATTTAAATGTAAACGGACTGCTTTTGGTCTCAGTTGGAGCTTGCTCATTTGTTGTTTTTGCATTGGGATTTGGAGTTAGACAAGCAACACATTTTACACTTGATGGTTTATTTGTAATACAACAGACATCGCATCTCCATTCCCCTTCTTTGGGTGCAAATTGCTCAGCTAGCGAATCAGTGCGTGGAGTTGTGGAACTTTCTTCCTTTTTCTTTGGCTGGTCTTCTTGTGTTGCCTGCACAATTTTTTGCGCCTCTTCAAATTTTGATTTGAAAAGTGCAGCTTCATCAACAGTTTTGAATCGAATTGCCAATTGCTCTGGTTTAGGCTCTTCGTCTGCGTAATCAATAGCATTCCATACCCAAGATTTGTCGGAACCAGAGTTATGTTTCAAAAGCATATCAGTGGTAATGTAGTGGTTGGCACAGATTTTGAGAACTTGCTCTCTTCTCATGAGAAGACGCACCTTTCCGTTAATGTTATTTTTAAGGATTTTAACATTACCAATTCCTCTTTCCTTCCATTCTTTCGTCTCATTGTCAAATCTGAATAGCTTGGCCCTGTTACAAAACATTTCCTCCTCATCCTCTTCCCCAGTTTTTACATCTACTTTGTCTGGCAGTGGTACAATTGGTTCAAAATGTGGGCCATCGTCATCTTCCTCAATGTGACTACTATCATTGTCGCTCTCTGATTCTCTCGCCTCTTCGGCTGCTTGCTGGGGCATTCCAAAAACAGGCTTAGGCACTTCTCCGAACTTAAAGGGCTGGTCTACCTTCCCAAATATATTCCCAGTGCTTTGAACAGAATCAGGAAAAGAGAAACCTGATGTGCTCTTGTTGCCAAATGTAAATATATTCGATTGTGCGGGCTGTTGGTCCTGGGTTGTAGGCTTGTCTTCAACTTTAGGGGCGAGATCTGATGTCAGTAGTCCAAGCAAGCTTTCTGAATGTTTATTTTGAGATGCAGAAAATGTAAAATCTCCATCATTTGACTTAAAATTGGAGTTGAATTTAAATGCAGGGGATGGGGTGGACTGGGTAACCACACCTGCACCAAAACTAGGTACTTTGGGCACTTCAGTAGGTGCCTGTTGGCCGAATGAAAGCTTTCCAAAATCCACTGGTTTTCCTTCTATGCTTTTTGGCTGTGCTGGGACTACTGTTGGTTTGGTGAAGTAGCCAGGCTCAGGTAAGGACGGGTTAGCAGCCCCAGTTTGCTGGGCATAATATTCTTCACTATATGGGGAGAGGAGGCTGGTGGCAGGGGATTCAAAGCGTAGAGGGGCACCAAAGACTTGTTCCTGAGGGGGGTACATGCATGGAGGCGGGGCCTGTAGAGGAGGGGTATGAGTAGGCTGTTGGTAGGCGTACATGTGCTGCTGGGGGGGCATTCGGTTCATACCATACATGGGACCCTGGAAAAAAGTAAATTGGTTCCAATCAGAAATTAATATAAAACGTACAAGATTAGTTTTTTTTTTTTTCTTTTTTACCTTTGTTGGAGTCACATTTGCAGCAGTGCGGAGGAGATACTGAGAATTGTATGCTGGTGATTGGTTGTAATAGACAGAGGGGCCTGTGGTGGCAACTGAAAATAGAAAAATGCCATGTATGTATTTAGTTTAACTAGGGGTGTCAAATTATCGCGTTAATTGTGATTAATTAATTACAGTCATATTTAGCACGTTATGTTTTTTAATCGCGTTAATCTCATTTTTAATGTCTAACTTTACTGTTTCTGTATGGGAGTTTCTTTATTATAAAACCTGTTTTTATGTGTTGTTGGGACAACAACACACACACACAAAACACATTTATACATTTTTTTATTTCGGTAATTCCACTCATTGCCGGAAACCCACACAAAACACGCACAGTAAGAGCGATGTGAGCGTCATGTTAACGTTGGCGGCGTCAGTCGCACAATGGACGAGGTCGAAGAGGCAGTAGAACAGTCAGCAGTGCACAGGTAAAAACGCATTCGTGTCTTGGAAATTCTTCTCCCAACGTGAAATATAAAAGAAAATAACAAATATAAAATCGCCTGAAAACAACCTGCATAGGCTCATGATGTCTGCACTACTGTCCTATAGTGACCTGCCACATGAGGGGACACGCACACAAACACACACAAACACAAACACACACAAACACACACAAACACAAACACACACCTTCATCATCGTCATTAACCTGAGAAAGCGCGGACCACGTTTCCTTCCGTAGACACTGCGCAGACACCGACGTGCTCCCGTGAGCCGTGTGTGGATCGTGTTTTCTCGCTACGCTGCGTAAACCGCGCTTCCTCCTGTGCACCTCTAAACCAGAACTAACACCAGGACTAAAACCAGGACTAAACCAGGTCTAAACCAGGACTAAACCAGGACTAAACCAGGACTAAAACCAGAACTAAAACCAGAACTAAAACCAGAACTAAAACCAGAACTAAACCAGGACTAAACCAGGACTAAAACCAGAACTAAAACCAGGTCTAAAACCAGGTCTAAGTCAGGACTAAACCAGAACTAAAATCAGGTCTAAACCAGGTCTAAACCAGGACTAAACCAGAACTAAAACCAGAACTAAAACCAGAACTAAAACCAGAACTAAAACCGGGTCTAAATCGGGTCTAAACCAGGACTAAACCAGAACCAACACCAGGACTAAAACCAGGATTAATCCATTCCAGGACTAAACTAGGACTAAAGTAGGACTAAAGCAGGTCTAAACCAGGTCTAAACCAGGACTAAAACCAGTGATCTCATATATAAAGCATTTCTCTATCAATAATATTTTTAATATGGTTAAGGAAAGACTGGACTTTTTATTGTCTTTAAGTAGACAAAGGTTATTATGTTCAGATTTCCTCGTCTTTGCTACTTTACAGCAAACAGTTTCTTATTCATGGAGACTTGGGCTCAACAGCCAAATTGGAGAGATTTGTTAAACAACAAATTACTTTATAAAGTCACTTTTTTTAATCTATATCAGTCTTTTGATCTGCCACAATAATGTAATAATGAATTTAAATGAAAATACCTCAAATTGAAGGCTTTTCTCAGCAATTTTTAGGTGAGATTAAAATGAGATTAATTAGATTAATTAATTACAGATCATAATGAATTAATCTCTCTATTTTTTTTAATCGCATGACAGCACTAAGTTTAACACAATCATCACTAGGATTGATGAGAATAAGGATATCCAGATATTAAATCTTAAAATTAGTAATAATTAGATTTTAATAGGCAAAGATAAAGAACAAAAAATAATCTGACCTTTTCTGTAAAGGTTTAGAAAGGTATATCTGAACTAGTACAAGAAGACATGGTGATATTATATAAATGATTACTATGTGTTTTGTATTTTTATCATTGGATCAAGATCAGTATCGAATCATTTCTAACCTTACAACCTTGCAAACAAAATTGACAAAATTAGCCACATCTACATATATGCTATAATATAAATTGCCAATGCCACCATTAAATTAGGCTGTTACAATTTGAGCTTTTAGAGCAAATTTTTCCTTGATTTAGCCCTGAAAAGGCAGATTTAGGTCCTGGTTTAAAACTTTTTCAGAGCACTTATGAATAAAAATGAAAAAATTATTAAAATTATTGTTCTTATTTGATTTCACTGTCTATTTGTATGTATATGACTCACCTGTGAGGGGGGCCCCGTGGTAGGACTGCACAGGTGTGAAGGACTCCTGCAGCCCATCTGCTCCATAACTGTCACTGTAGAGTTTGTGATGAGGGGAACCCGCAGCTCCTGGTGTGTTGTGTCGTAGATCATGGACCTCATTCTGTTACACAATATGAAAAAGTTAACTTACATGGCTTTTAACAGTTTCTTTTGATCCGACTTAAGCATTGGTGTATTTTCCCATTTTTTCCAGGGGGTAAATGAGCCTTACCAGGTTGTAGTTAATAACATTTTTATAGAAATTGAGCTGTTTTGATTTTAAAACATGTTAATTTCTATAATTACTAAGGGATCATCCATATGAAAAAAATCGTACAAAGTTCAACAACTGTCAGCACAAATAAGTTAAAGTAGAGTGTATTTTTTTAACAAAAGCATCAAAAACTGTGAGGAGTTTCCCAGTGAATGTAAATAGATAACATTTTTATGTTTTGTGTGAATGAAATACCTTAAGTGCTTCGACTTGCTGACACAACATCTGAAGAAGACTTTTCTGATCCTCCACCCAATGGGGAGGTGTCTTGGGAGAAATCTTGAAAAACAAAATATTAAAATGTCAACAGAAATAAACTAATATTAAAATGATACCCGAAAACATACCAGGTGCCGTCTGGAAGGAGAGACGATGCTTTTGTTTGGTGATGGTGTTGAAAACTTGATGTGGGAGATGGTTGCCGAGATGTCATTAGCTTGAGCTGGACTTGAGTGTGTTGGGCCTCTGCTCTCTGGCTCCTTCTCCTCCTCTTCATCCATGGACTCTCCACTGTTGCCCAGCTGCTGGTTCACATCATTCAGAAGGTCTACCACTTCCTCCATCGACACTGGCAACTACAAAGCAAAAAGATCAATTCACCGTAGTTCATGACAAGCCAACTGAATGATGGAAGTATTTTATCTTACAACCAAAAAATATAAAAAGACAATTACAAAAACTTGTAAAGGCATTTTTAGCAATAAAACCACCTGCCTATTCATTTACGCAGCACTGTAGGAAATTCCAGTGCATTGAGAGTGGTGGCATACCATATTTATACTTGGTAATGAGTTAAGAGTATGTCTAAAATTTGGTGTGCCACAAATTTTGTTTGCATTGTAGTAATAAAAATAAACCAAATATTTTTCTTTCCTAACCCTACTCACACTGATAAAAACATACACATACACACCAACCTTGTCAATATCCTCTGGACTGGCATTGTAGATTTTGGACAAATAGGCTCTGAATTTCCTCAAGAACATTATGCATCTGTCCTGTGTCTCCTCTACACCGTTACTGGCCTCCTCTGACAGACGCTGATAGATCTACGACAAAAGCCACACCAATAGTTCCTCTTTGTGTCCAGCTGATAAGATTTAAAGATTAAGAATCACAAAAAAATAGCAACAAACTCAAACCTGGGCCAGATGCCAAATGGATGATATATTGTTGATGGTTTCTAAAGTGGCTATTGCTTCCTCAGTTCTACCCTCAATGTCCAGAAGTGTAGCAAATGCAATATGGGCTTCTTCCTCAAGTTGTTTCAATGATGAAATCTACAAAGAATAAATAAAAACTGTAAATTTCTTTGCATAGTTTTAGAGCAGTGCAGAAATATGAAAATAAAATGATCTAGAAAAACTAAATCATTAAACTTTTAAACTAAAAGTTAGTAAAAGCAAAGGTACCTGAATGTCTTCAGATGGAAAGTGAATAAAGAGTGGATCCAGAGGTTCAGGAATGCTTCGTCGATGTTTGATTTTGTCCAATAAAGGCAACACGACCTTCCAGTAGTGAACACTGCGACCAATGTACTCCTTCTGATCATAATACGAGTTTATGCAGTCACCCTGGATTCAGATGAAAATTTTCAGTAACTTTTGACAAAAATGAAAAACAATAATATTGTGTGACTACCATGTTATTACATTACAATTCAATTTTCAGAAAACCTGAAATTTGCCACATTCAGTACAGTTAAAGGTATCTATTCAAATCTATTGAATAAACTTATCGCCACATTAAGATGCAGAAATTCACTTCAGTAATAATACAAGTAGAAAAAGAGAACATTATTTATGTGATGATGGATGGATCTACATCAACATCAGACAACTTCCAGTATTTATTTTTTAAAATAACCATATTACATAGCACAGATACGGATCAAGTACATATAAAAGATACTAAGTTGTAGTGAAATGTTAAACCTTAGGTATCAAACATCACGATGAGTTCAAGTGCAGTGAGTTTACTAGACATTCTTCACTCCTCAATTTTAAACACAGAAGCCTGACAGAGAGGCACAGGTGGAAAACAGAATCTGGAAGGTTGCTCAAGGCATCCGTGAGCTATTTTTCTCCTCCGTGTATTTGTGAGACCTACTGATACAGCATTTTACACTGCCAACAACCTAAGAGTAACCTAACAGTCCATGAAGCAGATTTAAGAGATGCAATGAAGCCTGATAATTATTTCAACCAAGTCAAAGGAGCCAGTCTTTTAAAGGAGACATATTGTACAAAAAGTGAGAGCCGTGGTATCTCTCGAATGTGTGAGTAATCACCAGTACACACCCACTGTTCTTTACTTCCTTCTTTCCCCAATTTCATTTCTTAATCAGTGATACACAGAGGATTGGGCAGTGTCACATAGCCATTTCAACACAAATAAAAACAAAAACACAGGTCGCTAGTGTGGTCTGCATTTAGCCATATGTGGGGTCAACAGCATGGTCAAGTAAAATGACACTTTGTTGTGATGACTTTTACAGTGATATACTGTAAAGAGGCAAGCAGGATCTGGCTCTTAATACCTCATTGGACATCACAATTTCAACCTGGAAATCAGGGGCATTGTTTCTTTTATGAAGTTATTTTAATATTGCATTTTGAAACAAAAAATACATTATATGATCTATGGGTCATAGATTATAACTATATAGCAGACTGACGCTTAATATTTCTTCTTAAACCAACCTTTTTTTTAAGGTAGATTTACCGTTTGATTGAGGACTTTAGCCCAGTGAATGGCCAGTGCCGGCTGTAGTCCGTGCTTCTCTCTAGCTCTCAGAGTGCTCAGTCCGTGCTGCACAATCGTCCTTAGTTTGGCTGACGTACCAGGTCTGAGGGCAGAAATTAAGATTTAGTTTACAATAATAATACACACATAAGGGCAACAGACAGACAAATGAAAACATACATATGCAGCAATATGACTTAAAATTTTTGTCAGTCCTTCATTGTTTGTTCACTACACCATATTCTTCAACTACCACTGCCAACAATATTCTGTTATCGCTGTTAAAGACTCACGCGGCCCTCTTGTGGATGAGGCTGTAAATGGCATCCCACCATTCCCTCTGCCTGTCGGTGGTGAGGAGGCGGATGAGGGGCAGGGGAAGGCAGCGCGGGACGTACAGAGGCTGGATCATTTCTGCACTGATCTTGGCCGTCTCCTGAAGCTGACAGTGACTGCAGAAGACAACACCATGCACAAACACCTGTGGGGGGCAAACGATACACAATCCATAGTAATGTGGAAATTGTATACCAATGTGCTCAATATGAGAATGAAGGCCGATGCACACCAGAGAGTGTCGCGCCAACTGTCACACATCAAACTCACACATCAACACACGAAAGGTGCTGGTTTGCAGAGGTTTAGTGAAACATGAATGTTAGAGAAGATATGGTGTTCTGCCGAGTAGAACACCGGAGCTTTCTCTGTCTTTGCTGCAGCTTTTATGTCACTCCTCAAAGTTTACAGTGCTCCTTTTGTCAGTCACAGAGCAGAGACATGTCTGTACTCACTGCACAAGTGCAAAATGCATGTGTTTTCAGAAGCGGCGCCACATCCTGATTCAACAAACCCCAATTAAGGCACAAGGTCAAGCGTCGCTTCACGCCCGTAGTGTACGCTCATAGAAAATAATGGAGAGGTCAATTTTACTGCACGCTGAAGCATTAAGGTGCGCGTTGGCCTTTACATCTACTGTGCAACAAAATATTAACAGATTAAAGCTGTAAAAATTAAAGCTACATGATGACAAATTCAAGCAATCACAACATTATTCTTCGGTCACAGATAGATCGAAGTGGACACATTAATTTTAAGTCTAGACTGAAAACCCACCTCTTCGCCTTCAAGAAATCAAGATTGTACTCAAGTTCAAACAATGTATGGAATAAAATACCTAGGTCCTAAAATAAAGAGAGTACATGTTTGGTGTGTATGATGAGAATGGAAGCTGAATACTATTAGGAGTGTCTGATCTAAGTGAGGGATCATATGTTTGTAGTTGTTGCTATATTGACATTACATTTGCTTAAATTTGCTATAAAACAATAACATTTTTGTTTAAAAATGTTACTAACCTCCAGATCAAGCAGGCAGATGGATTCAGGGGCATTTGCATCCAGCTTTGAAGTTTCAAGGGTGAGTTTGGGAAAGAGCTGCTGAAGCCAGTCTCTGACATCTGCTCTTTGGGCCATAAGGGTCCACTGCAGTCCCAGCCAACTCAGATGTTGCAAGTCACCACCGTGCAACAGTATGGACCCTACAAATTAATGTTTATAATGAGTATATTAATGTATAAAATTAGAATGAACAATTTGCAGTAGAAAGTATACATTTATATTAGGGCTGCACGATATGAGAAAAAGATGTAATAATTTATAACTATGTTTTGTCTTGCAATATAGATATAACTGTGATATTTTAATTAGGGGTGTCAAATTATCGCGTTAATTGCGATTAATTAATTACAGTCATATTTAGCGCGTTATGTTTTTTAATCGCGTTAATCTAATTTTTAATCTAACTTTACCGTTTCTGTATGTGAGTTGCTTTATTATAAAATCTGTTTTTATGTGTTGTTGGGACAACAACACATAAAAACACATTTATACATTTTTTTTTTATTTCGGTAATTCCACTCATTGTCGGAAACCCACACAAAACGCGTGCAGTAAGAGCGCCGTAAACGTCATGTTAACGTTGGCGGCGTCAGTCACACAGTGGACGAGGTCGAAGAGCCGGTAGAACAGAGTCAGCAGTGCACAGGTAAAAACGCATTTGTGTCTTGGAAATTATTCTCCCGATGTGAAATATAAAAGAAAATAACAAATATAATATCGCCTACAACTTAAATGTCACTGGTGAAAACAACCTGCATAGACTCATGATGTCTGCACTACTGTCCTATAGTGACCTGCCACATGAGGGGACACGCACACAAACACACAAACACACACAAACACACACCTTCATCATCGTCATTACCCTGAGAACGCGCGGACCACGTTTCCTTCCATAGACACTGCACGGACACCGACGTGCTCCTGTGAGCCGCGTGTGGATCGTGTTTTCTCGCGTACGCTGCGTAAACCGCGCTTCCTCCTGTGCACCTCTAAACCAGAACTAACACCAAGACTAAAACCGGGACTAACCCAGTCCAGGACGAAACCCGGACTAAACCAGGTCTAAACCAGAACTAAAACCAGGTCTAAACCAGGTCTAAATCAGGACTAAAACCAGGACTAAAATCTAAACCAGGACTAAACCAGGACTAAACCAGGACTAAACCAGGACTAAACCAGGACTAAACCAGGATTAATCCATTCCAGGACTAAACTAGGACTAAAGTAGGACTAAAGCAGGTCTAAACCAGGACTAAAACAAGGACTAAAACCAGTGATCTCATATATAAAGCATTTCTCTATCAATAATATTTTTAATATGGTGAAGGAAAGACTGGACTTTTTATTGTCTTTAAGTCAACAAAAGTTATTATGTTCAGATTTCCTCATCTTTGCTACTTTACAGCAAACAGTTTCTTATTCATGGAGACTTGGGCTCAACAGCCAATTTGGAGAGATTTGTTAAACAATAAATGACTTTATAAAGTCACTTTTTTTAATCTATATCAGTCTTTTGATCTGCCACAATAATGTAATAATGAATTTAAATGAAAATACCTGACCTAATTAAAATTAGTGCTGTCATGCGATTAAAAAAATTGAGAGATTAATTAATTATGATCTGTAATTAATTAATCTAATTAATCTCATTTTAATCTCACCTAAAATTGCTGAGAAAAGCCTTCAATTTGAGGTATTTTCATTTAAATTCATTATTACATTATTGTGGCAGATCAAAAGACTGATATAGAACAAAAAAAAGTGACTTTATAAAGTAATTTATTGTTTAACAAACTTTAACAGAGTCATGCAGTCACTTACATTACACAGTATCATCATTATTATTACTATTACTAATCTGCAGTGTTGGGAAGGTTACTTTTAAAATGTATTCCCCTACAGATTACATATCCCAAAATGTAGTTTGTAACTTAATCCATTTAATTACTTAAAGTGAGTAACGTAATTTGAATACTTTGGATTACTTGATATTGTCATGCTTTTTAAAACTACATGAATGTAGCAACCGCATCCTGCAAATGTTGTTCTTGTTTGTTCTCTTCAAATTGGTTGTTGAGCCCAAGTCTCCATGAATAAGAAACTGTTTGCTGTAAAGTAGCAAAGACGAGGAAATCTGAACATAATAACTTTTGTCTACTTAAAGACAATAAAAAGTCCAGTCTTTCCTTAACCATATTAAAAATATTATTGATAGAGAAATGCTTTATATATGAGATCACTGGTTTTAGTCCTGGTTTAGTCCTGGTTTTAGTCCTGGTTTTAGTCCTGGTTTTAGTCCTGGTTTTAGTCCTGGTTTTAGTCCTGGTTTTAGTCCTGGTTTTAGTCCTGGTTTTAGACCTGGTTTTAGACCTGGTTTTAGACCTGGTTTTAGACCTGGTTTTAGACCTGGTTTAGACCTGGTTTAAGTTCTGGTTTAGACCTGGTTTAGACCTGGACTGGGTTAGTCCCGGTTTTAGTCTTGGTGTTAGTTCTGGTTTAGAGGCACACACGAGGAAGCGCGGTTTACGCAGAGTACACGAGAAAACATACGCGTTGCACGGGAGGACAGCGGTGTCCGCGCATTAACTACGGGAGGAAACGTGGTCCGCGCGTTCTCAGGTTAATGACGATGATGAAGGTGTGTGTTTGTGTTTGTGTGTTTGTGTGCGTGTCCCCTCATGTGGCAGGTCACTATAGGACAGTAGTGCAGACATCATGAGTCTATGCAGGTTGTTTTCACCAGTGACATTTAAGTTGTAGGCGATTTTATATTTGTTATTTTCTTTTATATTTCACGTTGGGAGAAGAATTTCCAAGACATGAATGCGTTTTTACCTGTGCACTGCTGACTCTGTTCTACTGGCTCTTCGACCGCGTCCATTGTGCGACTGACGCCGCCAACGTTAACATGACGTTTACATTGCTCTTACTGCGCACGTTTTGTGTGGGTTTCCGGCAATGAGTGGAATTACCGAAATAAAAAAATTTACAAATGTGTTTTTTTTTGTGTGTGTGTTGTTGTCCCAACAACATACAGAAACAGTAAAGTTAGAGATTAAAAATTAGATTAATGCGATTAAAAAACATAACGCGCTAAATATGACTGTAATTAATTAATCGCAATTAACACGATAATTTGACACCCCTAATTTTAATATACTTTTTGACACAATAAGTTCAGTTGCACATGGCTTCATTTACAAGTCAAACTGCATCAAAATAAAAACTTCACAATAACAAAAGCAAGGCCAACTCTAATCTAATTTGGGACTTAATAAGGAAAATCATTAAAGAAATCTGCCTTTTTGTCCATTTTACTTTCCACCAAAAGTACTTTTCTGTAAAACGGAGAACTTTGTGTTGTTGCAATAGTTAGATTTTCTTGAGATATCAGAGATTGCAATATTGTGATATTGATATGTTTGTGATATATATTGTGTGTTAAAGGTCTCTACCGCTGTCACACTTGGCCAGTTGAGAGCTCTCTGGGACCATGGTGGTTAGGGATCGGATGTCATCGTTGGCGATAAATGATGAAGATGTGGAGACTTGTGGTCCAAATAGGATCTCAAACAGGGAGTCCTGACCACTGCGGTTTCCAAAGGCTTCCACAACCTTCACATATAACATATACGTTTATGATTAAAATATGAATAAACTTTCACATAGTTTAACTACTACACCATACTGGCAAAACATCAAGAAATTTATGTCATTTTATTTTTATATTATTTTTACTGTAGCAACAGAGCAATGTTTTTACTGTTACGGCTTTCGAGTTTTTGTCATCAACTTGACATTTTAGAGCATAGTAATTTGTAGTATACACACCTCATGTATCAGAGTGGTGGGGTCTGCGCTGAGGTTGAGCAGCATGTGTCCCGCCTGACTCTGACGGTCACTGGCCACAAGCTCCAAGAACTGAGGCGCCACTTGGTCTCGTTTGGTCATTTTAGGTTTTGGTCTTGGAACCTGAAGACAAAACACAAGAATTATGAGTATACACTGCGACCCAAATTATTATGCAGGTCAGTTTTTTAATAAGTTCTTGATTCAGATATGTTCCACTGAAGAAAAAGTGGTATTAATTCATGCCTGATAGGGCAGTTGATTAACCAAAAGCATAAAATATTTGAAGCATTTACATATTGAGCAAAAATTAGTTAAAATGTTAATATGCTGTGAACCAAATTATTATGCAGGCATATATAAAGGGGAGTATTCTGTGTTCTGTGACCATAAGCACTAAAGATGGGAAAGAAGAAGGATCTCAGTAGTAAGGAGAAGGCTTCTATCGTGAAACTTTTGGGAGAGGGGCGACCAACGATTGAAATAGCAAGATTATTGGACTGTGACCATAGGACAATCAAGGTCTTTGTTTCCAATGGTGAAAAAACAAGAAAAAAACGTGAGGAGGCTCCAAGGAGGAAGCCATCACCTCGAGATTTGTCAGCTTTAAAGAGAGAAATGATCAAACAGCCTTTGAGTTCCAGTGCAAGCATCTTTTCTGCTGTTGGTGTAAGCCACACCCCAAAGAGCTCATGGAATCGTGTTCTGAAAACGCTTGGTAAGGTCCAAAAAGCGAAAACAAGGCCTCCACTTAATCAAAAACACAAGGACAAAAGACTGGCATGGTGTAAGAAGTATATGAAATTGGCTTTTGGGCAAGTTATCTGGACTGATGAGATGCTTGCCACCCTCGATGGTCCGGATGGTTGGGCTAGAGGTTGGATAGCCAAAAGTACCACTGCTCCACCCAGGTTGAGGCGTCAGCAAGGTGGTGGAGGTGTTATGATATGGGCAGGCATCATAAAAAAAGAACTCATTGGCCCTTTCCAGGTTGCAGAAGGAGTGAAAATGGATTCGGCAAATTACTGCAAATTCCTAGGAGAAAATTTCCTTCCGTGGTTGAAGAAGAAACCAGTTGCGCAGCACAAGAAAATAATGTTCATGCTCCAAGTCATGCATCCAAGTTTACTGCTGACTGGCTGGCATCAAAGGGTTACCTACAGGACAAGATAATGGACTGGCCAGCATCCTCACCCAATTTAAACTGTATAGAAAATCTGTGGTTGATCCTGAAAAGAAGGGTTTTTGAAAATGGAAAACACTTCCCATCAAAGGATAAGTTGTGGGAAGCTATTGTAAAGGCTGCAAAAAGCATTAAACCTGCTGAAATTGAAAACTTGACATCTTCAATGGACAACAGGCTCTGATGCAGAAGAAAGGTGGCTACATCTCCAAGTAAAGAATCATCCAGATATGCTTATTATTTGACAATTTGTGCTCAGCACAGTCTATCTGACAATATAAAATATGTTTGTTAATAAAACAAGATGTTTTATTTTCATATACTGGATGTTTTACTTTGAAATAAAGATTTGCATAATAATTTGGTTCACCTGAAATTTGAATTGTTATTATATTTTCCATCTAATGTTATTTATGTGGAACATTGTTATGGATAAATTTGTAGAACCAGTACAGCAATGTATCCTGAAAGAAAGGGTGGGCTAACCCCAATAGTTTCTGCAAAGTAATTAAAAACCTAACTTGCATAATAATTTGGGTCGCAGTGTACGTGAAATTAAGGACCTCAGCAATTCCCATTAATATTAAAGACTACAGTGGCATGTCCTTTCCCCCCTGCAGTTCAAAAACAAGATAGACAATGGAATAACAGGTTTGGGAATGTTATCAGAACACATGAAATGGAAAAAACATAAAATAAAGACAATAAGATGTTTGTACTGAAAAATGTCAAGCCATTTGGTAGAATTTCTTTCTTTTTTTTTTTTTTATTAATAATTGATGAAAGGAGTATCTAGAACTATACTGGTTGAAGAGTTAAAGCTCACCTGGTATGCCAGTAAGTAGCACAGAGCAACCAAGTCCACCACTGCCCTCCAGGTCTGTTGTTTCTCCTGGGCCATTTTAAGGAGGAGGGTGGCCGCGTGCAGGTACAGGTGACCCCTCATCTCCAAAAAGACCTCAAAAAGATCATCTGGGTGCCGTGGGGCGACGCTGCTCATCTCCTGCATAGCCTGATCAAAGCTGGAAACAAGTAAAGGGCATACTGGTTAAATATGTAAAACATGATAACAATAGATTAATTAAAAGTGTGCTGAGAGAAAACTAAATTGATTCTTCAATACAAAGCTAGTATTGTCAGTACTACATGTTTGAGGAGACATACTTTGTGAGTGCATTGAGGCAGGGCTGCAGGCTACTGCTCGACAGTGTGATCCTCAGGAGGCTGCACAGCGACAGCAGCAGCTCCCTTTGGAGGCGACGACACATCTTCTCATTTCCCGAGACGGCCGGCTGAGCCAAATACTCCTGAAAGAATTAAGTTGATCACAAAACTTGTTAATCAGGGGATGTGATCAGGGACCTTATCCAAATAAATTTTACAGTCTAGCTTTAAGTGCATAAAATGATTCCTTTCATTCTAAAGCAATGATGTTATCAAATTTCTGAAATATTATTAGGCCTGTGGCTACATTCATTAAATATTTATGCAAGAAGATATTCTCAAAATGTTAAATCAATAACACCCCTAATGAATAATTTCCACCATAATCTATAGGATGCTCTTTTAATTTTAATTAATTAAGTAATTGATAAATGGGTACTTTACAACTCCCACATGTCATTCAACTGTGCATTATTATGTGCTGTAGATGCACATAATAACGTTTAGTCCCCACTGTGGACTCAACAGGAGCCATGCTGACCTTAAGTGTCTGCACCACCACGTTGTACCAGTCCAGGCTGTGGCGCAGCATGCCCCTCTTTTCAGCAGACAGGCAGTGCTTAACTGCCTCATCCAAGCGTCCATCTTGGCAGAAAAGTTGAACGAGTTTCACATTGACGTGAGGGTCTCCAGGACGTGCTGTGAGCTCTGCCTGCAGAAGATCGAAGAGGCGGTTCCATCCTGGTTGCCCCTGACGACTCAACAGCCGCTCCTGAAGAGAAGTGATTTGAAGAATTATATATCAAGCATTCAGCTACACTGTGTGCAGAATTATTAGACAAGTGGTGACCATATTATGATTTTTATGCATATTCGCCAATTCTAAGCTGTATAAACTTGAATTCTTCTAAGCATATCAGGTCATGTGTATTTGTCTAAAGAGGGAGGGCGTGGCCTAAAGAGATCAACACCCTATATGAAGGTGTGTAGAATTATTAGGCTGGTCCTTTTCCTCAGGCAAAATGGGCCAAAAAAAGAGATTTAACTCTGAAAAGTCAAAAATTGTAAAGTCTTTCAGAGAGATGCAGCACTCTTGAAATTACAAAAATATTGGGGCCTGATCACAAAACCATCAAACGCTTTGTTGCAAATAGTCAACAGTGTGGCAAGAAATGTGTTGAGAAAAAAAAAGATCCAAATTAGCTGCAAAAGATTAGAGAAGAATCAAACATGAAGCTACCAGAAACCCATTATCCTCCAGCAGTCTGATAGACCACAACTGCAGTCTACCTGTAGTGCCCAGAAGTACAAGGTGTACAGTGCTCAGAGAAATGGGCAAAGTAAGGAAGGCTGAAACCTAACCACCACTGAACACAAAACATAAGATGATAAATGTCAAGACTGGGCCAAGAAATATCTGAAAACAGATTTTTCAAAGGTTTTATGTACTGATGACATGAAAGTGACTCTTAACGGACCATTTGGATCTGCTTGTATGGGCATACTGGACCCTTCATGTTGAAGATGCACTCAGAATTAACTCCAAAACCTACTGCCAGGTTTAAGAGGACACCTTCTTTAAGCAGTGGTACAGGAAATAGTCTGATTCTTTCAAGAGAACTATGATTTTTTTTTTTTTTTGCAGGACAATGCTCCATTACATGCATTGAAGTACTCTATTGCATGGCTAAAGCGAGTAATGAGAAGGAAAAAGTGGTTTTCATTTATGGTCGTACAAATTAATAATAATGATAAAAAAAAGGCACAGACGTTTATCATTTATGATCATACAAAATAAACAACACTGTGAATGAAAAATGTAAGGATCCCTTCCCCATTTTGTACAAACTAATAATGATAACAAAGGCACAAAAGTTTAAAGTTTATGATCGTGCAAAATAAACCACAATGTGGAAAAAAAAAATTACAGATTATTTTAAAAAATTACTTTTACAGGAGATTTATGGTGAAACAATACAGTACACCTCTGAACTCAAAACAGCATCTGGGAAGTTGCAGTTGCTGCTGCACAAAAAGTGGATCATCAACAGATCAAGAAATTGACAGACTCCATGAATGGAAGGCTTATGACCATTACTGAAAAGAAGTGTAACTATATTGGACACTGACTTTAGTTTTTTTAATGTCAGAAATATTTGTAAATTTTAAGTTGTGATCGGCCATTTGTGATCATAACTAAGGAGGCCTCTGTCAAAAATGTTGGCTATCACTGAAATATGAATGCTATTCTTTAAATAGAAGCTGGTTGAAAGATGAAGTGACAGTACACTTCTGTGTATAAACTCACCTTGAGGTTGAAGACAGAGGGACTTCCTGGGAGTAACTTTGCAGCTTTTTCAACCCAGAACTCTGCTCTGCTGTCACAGTCCTCCTGACTGACAAGCAGCTCCGCAACTTTCAAAACTAGGTCCTTCTGAGCTGGATTCAAGTCCACCGAGCGCTGTAGATAGAAGAGAAGATGAATAAGTTTAGCGTTAAATAAAACTGGATAATTAGTCCGACCAACTACAGTAAAAATAAATAAATAAAAATCAACCATCAATGAGCAGAACAAGCAAAAAAAACTAAAAAGGGTGTGGTAACTATTAACATTCACTACCACAAAGGCAAATATTAACATGAAATATGATTTTAATTTTCTCTTATAGTTATGAGTGCTACAAAAATATATATTTAATAATACAAAACTAAATACTAAATACACCTTAGTGGCAAAAATCTTATCAATAAAAATAATTAAACAAAGAAAACAGAGGAATTCAAAAGTCAGAGGATGTGCGAAAGGCCCTTAGTTCCAGTTTCTTACCTTGTAACACCCCACTGCTTTGCTGACGTTACCCTCTCGTTCATAGAGCTGTCCAAGAAATTTGTGTGCTTTTGGATCCCGCTCTTGGATTTTGAGATACTCTGAGACATGCCTGAAGAAAAGGTTTACTAATGAGTACAATGAGAGCTGAAGCACTGAAAATAAAGAAATTTTTATTTTATACCTTTTTGCAAGATCATATTCCTTTGCTTCAAAATATAACTTTGCAAACAGGAACCCCTTCACTGGTTTCTGAAAAAATGAACAGGCACAATTAAAAAAAAAAAAGACTACACTTGCTAGGTTTGTTGCATAGTAGTACATACATTTTAACTATAAACAATCACCCATAATAGATTAAATAGATTCAATGTGAAAATAAGGTTAGCAAGGCTAAGCAAAAGTTTGTGCAGTCATAATTTTGGATAGGTCACAACATATTTGGAGTTGTCATTCTGAAAGTTCACTTAGTTCACAAAATAAAACTCACTGCTGACCGTGTTTAAGAGGAAAATAATCAGTATCAGACTTAAACCATTTGGTCTAATGACAGGGTCAGTAAACATAATCAACAGCATGCCTACTGCCCACCTTTAGCATTAGACAAAATGTTTTAATCAATAAACATTAAATAATGAAATTAAATCACGTTTGTGTGGTCGGTTTTGACATTAGGCAAGCACCACAAGACAGTATAGGAATATTATACACTTGTGTATGATCACTGTCACAAAAATGTACAAGTGGTACATGCAGATTAATATACATCCTTCAGTTGAATGGATTATAAGAATATTCAACATTATCACTTCCAAATGACAAGGTTATCAGTGTTTCAACAGCAGTGTATAACAACAGTCCATTTTCTACAATAGACTTGTTATAAATAATCTGTATATTTACTTAGCATATACGTGGCTAATATTTCATGGTTTCGGTTTCTTAGTTACTGTCCAACTAAAGATAAATACACAAGACTAGCGTTAATGTGAACTTCACTGGACTAATAAGTTGCGATAGCTATTTGCTAAAGTCTAAAGCTAACTTGAGCTCATATTTAGCCTGTGCTAAACCCCGGATCCCAGAGCGCGGCATTTTCAGAGGAGGACACGAAGGAGCGCCGTTATGCCGGCTGAAACACTACTAATCCTAAACACAGATAAAATGGTATAATGGCTGAAGAGGGTCATATACTGGTGCGTGATATACAATTAAAGGCTCTCTACTTTGATACAAGTGCCGTTTTACGCCCGTGTATCGCGGATAAACTGGCAGACACACACATGCTGCTCTGACATGAGAGTTAGCATTAGCCACCGGCTCTACTCACCTCTTTGAGGGAAGGCGAAGAGCTCTGCACCGAAGAAACGTAGCGATCTACTTCGATTTTACTCCGCCGCATGGCTTCCAAAATTAAGTACAAGGTGCATAGGAAACGAGAAAGTCGCTAAACTAAAAAAATGACATAAATGCAGGCTCTGCAGTCCCTCAAACAACTCTCCATGACAGCATTGCGCAGTCTCTTTAGCGTCAAATGGCGTTTCCTTGAATTGACCAATCAGCGGTGACTTCCGCAGACATACGCAAGCGGTGACTCCCATGGTGACTCCTGTCTAGACCAGAAATATAAATAATTTTAATTCTCTGAAGGTTCAGTTATCTGACATGTGTACAAACTGGTCTGAACTAGTTAATTGAAGACAAAAATTAGTCAAGACAGATTTTGTTGCTATTTGTCAGAAAACACAAACAGTTTTGTTTCATTATGAAATAGTTAAGGCCAATGTTAAATTGCAAAACAAATATGCAAATCAATGGCCAAATTTTTGAATAGTTTGAATCTAAACCTATCTTTTTGAATCTAGACCTATCTTGCTTATTACACCACTGAACATACACATTACTAGCTATAATAACATTTATGAAAGACCAATACGATAACAGCAGATTAAGCATTATTACTAGAATGCCCATTGCAGCATGACATAATGACTTTGAAGCGGTGGCATCTAAAATATCAACAGTGAATTTAAAATTAAATGTATATTCAAATTAAAGTTGCAGCATGAATTATATAATGTCAATTGTGGCCATTGTAAATGTTGCCTATAATGGAATGTTAAATCTTTGTTGAAGGATTCCTTAATTTTAAAATTCCAATGTAAAACGCTTTAATATTTAGACGTTTTCTAATCAAGATTTTTGGTTTCTTGCCTAAGAGGGTCTGAGCCTTGAGGAAGTGGCTGCACCTGCTTAAGAGGATCACTGTTCTTGGATTACTAATAACATAGACACATGTTCAAATCTTTTCTGCATACATGTCACAAGTCAAAACACTGCTGCAGTTGCTGGTCAGTAAATGGCATCATTGTGGAACAGCTTAGCCCACATTTCATTACTGCACAGAGCAACAGTTGACCACACCACAACACCTGTTAATGTAGAACCAACTACTGTCTGTCATTGATAATATTTGTAAACCATATGGGTGACCATGACTCTGTGTCAAGTGACTATTATAAAAGATGTCTAAATTAAAATTTATATAGTTATATAGATTTTATAAATATGTAGGCTATTAAATGTACTTAATTGTGTCTGAAACTGAACCAAGTCTGAACACTGGAGACATTTTCATGTGCATTATTGTAAATATGTTGTACTGTACTTCATGCCGAGACCAGATCAGCAAATTAGCTCTTGGCTAGATAGCGTATTGACATGACATCTTTTGCTATTGTAAATGTAACAATGCCCTCTGTTCTGTCCCTTTTAAATAAATGAATATATACATAAAAAAATTGTTTAATTAATAATCAAAATTCATGAATTAATTTAAAACAATAACTTTATTCAAAAAGGAAGTCTGTCATTATTATTTTTGCATAAATACTTTGATGGTTTTATATACATCATGTGAGTTCATTACATTAACATTTGGCTGGATAATGAAAATATGTTAGCATTTAACAACAGTAACCATGCATGATACTATGAAAAATGTGCACAAATAATAGATAAATGTAATACAAGCTGGTGTCATAAGGCAAAGATAACAGAATATATACACACACCACTGGCATAAATACTCAAAGGTGCACTATGTAACCTTTCTGGTGAGGGATCCACTACCTGCTTGTCTCCATAGAGATGTTATTTCGCTGCCTGGAATGTTACAGGATGATTATAATTATTTATTTCTCAAAAATCAAAAGCATGGAGACTACCAGGTGAACCGTCCCCAAGAAAAGTTACATACAAGTTAAGCCATAAAATAATATTGGACTGTCCATTTTGAAATATGAAAAATGAAATAAATGACCATTTGCAGCATGATGAATAATATAGTAATGAAATAAGGCAAGCTTGTGAGTAAAGTGTACGGTCAAAAAGCACAACAGGTTAATAACATGACTAATTCCTATTCTTGTAATAGTGACAATAATGGTGACCTTTTCAAAACAAAGCATTCAAATATTATTCAAATGATTGTCATTTGGGTGCAGATCTTTGGTTGTTCTTGTTTTTCATTTACGTGCAACAGTTTCTGACAGCTTCTTCAGTCTTTTCTTCAGCTCCAGGGGAAATTTCTCATAGCATTTCTTACAGACTGGTTTCATGTCAAACTCCACAAATTTGTTCCTACAAATGACAAGGTTACAAAGATGTTAACACAAAAGAATAATGTGAAAACTGCTGTTGCGAACACACAAACATACATATGATTTTTTTGTTGTTTTTTTTTTCAGTTGGTTTTATATTTGGAAATCCATGTTTAAATCAGTAAGTGTATTTATGAAACTAGTCTTACTTGCAAAATGAAGCTACTTCACAGAGCAAAAGTAGATAGGCCTAGAGTTAACAAATAATTAAATAAATAAATAAATACATATGAAAACATATTATAATTTACTTTTCTTGGCTTGACGACTTTATTTGATAAGAAAGTTCTGCAAGGAATGAAGTAAGAGTAAGAAGAGACATTTAGTAATAACCATGAATTGATCTGACGATGCTGAGGCCATAGACCCTAGCCTTTAAGTGCAGGACAATTTAAATATTGAATAATAATTCTAATTTTTACCCATTGGAGCTATAAGGATTTAGTGGTAGAATAATTTACTCCACATATTCTAAATAAATGTGCTTCAAGTCTAGTCGCTTTCATTGGCATAATACAACATAACTGTCAATGAAATAAATACACGTGTAAAACCCAGTGAGTTGTGACCGGAAAGCTGTCGGATGTGATTATGGGTTTACTTTCTGCAGCCAGACAGACTCAGAAATGAAAGAAAAAAAAATACAAGTGTTTCTTTCAAACAGAGAATCCACTGTACCCTGCTGTAAATCTGCATTTCCTGTTTGTATTGCAGAGGTTACCGGAGTAAATGGCTAATCTGTACACAATAAAGCATTTACAATTTAGGTCACTCAGGTTTTAATCCTGTATGTTAACCTACTGCAAATGGGGTTGTTATGATTATGTTGACAAACAGTGGGCATGTATTACAATTGCACAGTAAAAATAATGTTCCTTCAAAAAATAATGTTGTCAGTATTGCTGACTTGATTTTGACAGGAAAAGGTCTGATACTTGATAAATTTTCAATAATAAAAACACTCCTTGCATGTGGTCATGATACAGTACATTGCTACCAATGTTAATAAATTAACAAAAGTTATACAAGAGCATGGTTTTAACAGAAAATTATGTTGAAGGTCAATACTAATACTACTTATTAAGATATCTATCATTCACAAAATGCATGTCCCTTTCACCAGTTATTATTCGAAAATTGTGGTTTAAGATTGAGCACTCATAAGAAAATGAAATAATTATAATAAAGATAGAAAATAAAAGCAAAAGTTGACCAAGACTGACCAAAAGAGCAGCAGTGAAGATTATAGGAGCAAAGGCAATCACAGACACATGGGTATCAATAATTTCTTCTTTTTGTCTTTCGAGTCACGTTCACGTTTAGCCAGACGCCGCCTCATGTCGTCTGGGAGCCGCTCGTAGCATTGTTTACAAACCGGCTTCAAATCCACCTCTACAAACTTCTCTCTGAATGGAGCCCAAGAGAGAGAAAGGCAAGGAAAACAAAGCGGAAACAGACAGAGTGAAGGCTACTAGTATATGAGGTTGATCAGAAGGAGGAGAGGACAGTAAAGACATTAAATTAAGAAGTAAACTCATAGTATAGAGATAAAGCAGTAGATAGCAAGGGAAGATAGTTTGAAGAACTGCTTTATGATAATGGGTTAATTGTTGCAGAGCATTTTAGGAGTCTAGCTTAGGCTGTCCTGATTTGATACCTCTTTAGTCCTGATCTAGACATGGTTTGGACTTGTTGTTTTTAGTACTGGTCTAATCCAGTTTTAATTCCAGTTTGGTCCTAATTTGGTTATAGTGTGTTGACTTACTTGAGGGTGAGCTTGGTGTTGCAGGTGGAGCAGGCAAAACAGTTGACACACCAGGCTTTGTTAAGGGCAGACACCACTGAAAAACAAAAGGCTTCTTTGGTAAGATAAAACTTAGGTCATACAATCATGTTTTGTGTGCAGCTCTTTGGTGACATCTAGTGGTGACAAACATTCAACGGTGAGTGTGGAAAAATATGAAAGTGTGAAGTAATTTCCACTACACTAGGATAGACAAGGCATTCACATTCAAAGAAGTTTGTAATTTAAAATAATACAAACAAGTAATACTTACCCATTGCCATCTAGTGAATACACATAAGATTTTTTGTTTTGTTTACAAATAGCATTCATGCCATGCAGTTTAAAAGAAAATTTATTTGAGTCTCAAAATAAAAGTGTCATCTTACCATCTCCTTCAATGACACGGTTGCAGTGGTAGCAAACATCTCCAAACAGCTGAGAGGAAAGAATGAAACAAAAGGAAAAGGATTAGCTAGTAAATATAAATATAATTACAAACCATATGAGTAATTTAATACAAAAACTATGAAAAAATAATAATCCTAGAAGGGCTTCGCTCATAACATGCTATAGATGCCATGCAAACAAGTTGGCTACAGGCATTGTAATCACTTACATTTGGAGACTGAATTTGGTTGACCACTAGGTGGAGCCATAACATACTTCAACAGTGACCACTTAGTTGGTTGAAAAACATATTTTCACAAAATAAAATGTGCATTATCCTCCACTCTCAATGACTTATTTTCTATGAGTACCAGGCTTTACTATTATGCACATACTCATTACCTTACTACTTTTGGTTACTTGCACGATTTTTCTATTCTGTCCCAAGGAAACATCTGTATTTGTATTCAATCATATTATTAACTTCACTTACTCATATGTCCCAGTTTCTTATACAATTTTAAAGGTGCACTATGTAATTCTTCTCTATCCATAGAGATATTATATCTTTGCCTGGAATATTCCATTCTATGGCATTACAAACATATTAACAGATGTTTTTTATTACTAGGCCTGTAACTTGGCCTATACTAGGCGATACTAGGTGTGTAACTTAGATTAGTATCATCACCCACTTATACTTATACTTAATATGTATATTTATGTTTAATGCCATATCGTGGCACATTCCAGGCAATGTAATAACATTTCCATGGAGACAAGCCTGTAGTGGTTTCTCCACCAAAAGTTGCATAGTATAGCACACCTTTAAGTTACATTATTTGGTATTCATTAGCTAAATACCACCTCCACAGAGACTGCTTGTTACCTGGTTGTAATGGGTCTCACAGTAGGCCAGTCCCTTGCGCTCATAGTGACGATGTCCCAGGAAAGGTTTCTCACACTTAGCACACACAAAATGCTGCAAAACAAACAAAAACAAAAGCCCAAAGCCAAGCACTTATGATGAGCACAGCCAGCAAAAAACACTCCACAAGATTAAACAATATGACGTCAAAACAAGTCACTTCTGCCCAGCTGTCATAACACTGAAGGAGGGATAACACAGGTATTAGGCAAATTATAAGTCCAAGACTATCAGGAAAGCTTAAAATTATGTATACACCAATCAGGCAGAATATTAAGAGCACTGTCAGGAACAGTGGAGGGGGATAGGACAATAAAAATATCAAAACGTTAACTCATCCTCTAAAGATTTGCCAATATAGATAGTCTGCTAAATTGTAATTCAGTGCTTTTAATGAAATTCTATATCAACATAGATACATGTTGTCTACTTGTTTACTACTTATGCCCACCCACTTCCCCTATTGGTCAGGGAGCAATGAAGCAGCAACAGGTGATGTTTGTGGAGAGAATTATACAGGATTTATTCACATTTTAGACATGTGGTCATAATGGTATACCTGATTAGTGTATTCCAACAAACAGGGTGACACTAAAATTCAGTTCAGCCTACATTTATTCTTTTTGGGACAATTTTGTGAATGGCACATGTTAAGCACAAAATAATATTCAGTTTATGGCTGAACTTAAATCAGTGTCACCCAAACCTAACAGGCAGCAGGGGTGAGGCATGATGCAGCAGACAGGGGCCCTTCCTGTTCTTCTCACCATATCAAAGTGCTTCTCACAGTAAGCGCGACCACCTCGTTCATAAAATGGGTGCCCCTGAAAAGGTCGCTCACAAATAGTGCACACATGATGCTACAAGAGGAGGATAAAAGAACAACACAAAGGCCATAGCAGAAATAGAAGAAAGTTAAAAGTAGAAGATAGATATAGATCAGGGAGATTTGAAGAAACTGTAAAGAAATAACTCGTGACATGTTAGAGAATTTTAAAAAAGACAGTAAAAACATAAATGATTATTAAGATGAGAAAAAAATATTGAAATGATACCCCTGTTTTTGCACATATCCAAATGTTTCATATTGATGAAAAAGTGGGACCACTGGCATAGTGATTAACAATTTAGAACTTAATACTGGACAAAAGTCCTCCCTGTCACTTACAAAAGGAAGTTGAAACCCATAAATACAGGTCTATCTAAATAAAGTTTATTTCAGTATTCTATAGTGGTGAAAAACACACACTAAATGTTTGTTCACTAATGTTCATTTAAAAGTTCAAAATAATAATTTAAGTAATTACATCTAATATTTGATATATATTTCTCTCTTTTGATAGAAAATGCATTTCCTTTCAGATTACTTTATTTTTATATTATATCTGATATGTACAACACTTTGGGCAGCTGTAGTTATTGTAAATGTGCTCTAATAATACATTTTACCTTGACTTTAGTCTATAGATGTGTATGAATTTCATTTGAATTAAAATTTTAAATTATTAATTTTCGGATTTATGTATAATTAACTTATACTTGTACTGTGTATATTCATACCTCCACGTGCCATTGTTTGCCCATAGCATTGACCACGCGACCCTCGATGGGCCTCCTACAAGCTCCACAGATCGGGACGCCCATTTTATCATGACAGGGCAGACAGTATAGCTCCCCCTTCAGTTCACGGGCATCAGCTGTCAGCTCCTTTCTGAACAAAGAAAATAATAAATAAATACATATGCTATTGCTTTGCTGGAAAGTTATACATAACATTAAATGCACCTTAAGAGTTTCCATGGAAACAGAATAATACTAGAATAATTGTAATATCATACTGTGGAACAATCTAATGTATGCAAAGTAATTACATCTCAAGGGAAACAACCAAGTGGCAGAAAAGTTACACAGAACACCATTAAGATACTCAATATATTTGCCTTTGCTTACATATCTAATCCATGACAAACAAAAAATGGAAAAAGATCTTGCATGTTACATGTATAATGGTATTAAAGTTTTAGTACTGGTATATTTTTTTGTTGTAAAACATCCTCCCAAAATGGTTTAACGACAAATTGCACCCCAAATCATGGGAAACATGTGCATGTAGAGGTACCCGCAGTTGTTGCAGTTGAAGTGGTCGGGGTGGTAGGGGTCATTCTTAAAAAGCAGTGGCTGCTCGTCGATGATGGCGTGACACTTCTGACAGATGTATTTTCCCAGGCCTCGAGCCTTCTCTCGGTTATGACACGGGCGACACAAGTGCCTGATAGGACAAAATATTACACATTTAAACAAAAGATTAAAGACTTATGGCTAGATGAGAGCAAGGGGAGGGTTGTATTTGGGGTGAATATTTTAATATTCTAATGACATGTTTATTACCAAATCCAAATACTAACAATCAATAGTACAAAAAAATATAAACATACAACCAGGTCCAAGATAGATAGTAATAACAATGTAATAGTAATGAATCAGTTTTATACAGCACTTTTCATGGTAACTCAAAGATGCTTAACCATTAAATAACACAAAACAAGGACAGGACAAGTAGTGAGGAAGCAGTCATGTAGAACACAAAATACATAATAATGGTAGTTTACTTATATATTTTAAGCTTGTAACTGACCTGCCAGCATTTTTGACAAAGCCCACATCAGCGAGCACAGCCTGGCAGATGTCGCAGCAGAAACAGTCTGGGTGCCAGCTGTTGTTCATGGCTTTGATCACTCGCCCGATGATGAACTCACCTGGGACAAAGATCGGAATATCATCATTAAAACTTTACTCTTCTGAAAACTTTCAATCAAGCAGAAACTCATAGCGCCATATCAGGACAGATCTGTATTACAGATTTAAAAGTAGATGCAAAGAAATTAAATGTGAATTTTAATATTTACCAGGCACCTTTGGTACTGTTTTGTGTCATAAAACAATATTCTTATATTCTTGATAATTATCCCATTTGTAACACTGTCAGATTATTGAAAAAAGAAAATCTGATGTGAGTACTGCAATTTGGATTACCGGTTTAATTTTGTGTATGTAAACACACACAAGAAAACAGATAGTAGTAATAATTGTGTTATCTGAAAATTCTGACCATGTAAATGTACCCAGTGAGCAGCGGGTGGCAGATTGATTTTAGAAGTTGGTCTACATTACATTCACATCTACATTAAATTATTTTTTTGGCCCACCAACTCAAAACAATATTTATTCATGTGCTTCATCAATATCAATATCAACAAGATAAAAATCATAATAAAAATATATAATACTCATCAATAATCTTTAATAATTGAAATAGGAGGTTTATATTTACCACACTGATGACAGCACGGAGCAAAAAGCATCTGGAAGTCATGTTCACAGTACTTTCTTCCTTCAAACTGTTGACAGAGCAAATACTTCAATATTATCTACATAAATTATGCAAAACAGCTCTGGTGTAAATATAGCTCATTGTTACGGGTTTTCTTGTCAGTATTGATAAACTGAGTGCAGAATAGAAGGTCTGATGTAAAAATTGATTAAACCGGAGGCATTTTGTCCCTGGAGTTTGTTTGTAGAGTTACTTAGCCTTGTGAACAAACAGTTTACTGGATTTGGAGCAGGACAAAATCGACATTAAAGCTTTTTGTGTTCAAGGGATGTCCAAGGAGACTGAAACTGTTGCTTTGGTATTTGTACAAATTTAAGCCCTTTTCAAATATGGTTAACATAAAAAGAAACATTTAAATCCACAGAGCTCTGTTATTGTACCCTTTAGTAAATCCGGTTCCTTGGACATCCTTTGAAAAAGTTTTTGAAGGGAAGAAAATTTCTGCCAAATTACATGAGGTGGAGCAAGTTCTATTGCACATCTGCCATGCTTTGTTTTTATCAAAACAATGAAATTATTAATATTTTGCAGCTGAACAAATCTTTGTGTGTTTTCACATTGTTTACAAAAACTGTTAAGAGGCTTGTTTTGTTATCTGTACAAAAGGAGCAGGGCATAGATACTGCTAGATATACAAGATGCACATATTTTGCTGAGCTTAAGAGCTTACATATTTTTCAGCCTTGCACTTTGCTGTTGCATAATGCTACAGTATTAAATTGTTTATAATTACATTTATAAAATTAAATATGTGGTCTTAGATCCATGGTTGTACCTCATAGAATAGTCCCTCTGGAAACTGCTGGAAACACTGGGCGCACACAAAGCACTGCTCGTGGTACAGCTCTCCGTTGCTATTGACAATCTTCTCAGCTGGAGCAAACCCGCTCTTACAGCGCTCACAGATGGCATTGGCCAGAGCATTGGCCATGTTCCTGTGAGAAAAAAAACACAGTAAATGTATTTAATATAAATGATTACAATTACATATTTTAAACCCAGGGCAATATAACATTTTTATATAACATGATTTTTAATTTTATTTGGTCTTAAAATAATAATAACTGGCTTTCAATTAAATTTCTGAATCCAAACTTAATATCAGTGCCATGTTATACAAAAACATTGTGAAATTTTGTCTGAAGTCTGTTCCAAACCACATGGATTGGTTGTAGACCTCTCAGTTAAAATATCCAAGCATATCATTGATCATTTCAAATCAAGTTTGTATCATGTAAAGCTGTTCATGTTTATTTCTTCTGTATCACACTTTGATTATTACTGCATTCTGTCTTTGAGAGCTCCAAACAGCTGATTCCACCCATAATGTTTTTCAAGTGCCAAGCCATACCACTAAAACTCCTCCTTTAAAACAAGAATATAATTTTGCTCACATTCAGAAAAAAAGTATGAAAGGTATTGAACTGTGCAAAGTCAGGGTGAACCTAGGACCAATACTTCAAAATCTTATTAAAAGTGTCTAATCTATTCAAAACATCTGAAGATAAATCCAACTCTGGAAGGAAAATGTTGCCAGCCCTTTACAAAGACACTTATATTTTATCTGGCTTTGGAGTTTTGGGTGTGGAGGGTCAAAGAGGAAGAAAAAGTTATATTAATTCAAAATGATCAGAATGTTTTGACAATTTTGTGATTTTGTACAACAACTAAAGGTTTATTTGAAAAGTAAAACCAGATGTGTAAAAAATGTGTCAGTATATTAAGTGTTTCACAACCAAGAACCTAAAAAGCAAAGATTCCAGTCTCCAGAAAGTTGCATTTTCACAATCTCACATGTTTTCAATAAATAACCAAATAGAAAATTGTGGTTATTAGAAGGCTGGTTTATTGGCCCATTTGAATCGACAGGATAATTCATTTTTTACATTATTAATCAGCTATGAAGTAACCAGTACCATATGGTTGATGTTTGGATAAAGAACTTTTTTTCTCATGAATAAAACCATATGGAAATCCTGAGCATAGCAAACAGCAAGTCATAATGCTATAACGCAAAAACCATGATCTGAATGGGATTAGTTGCTTGTTTGTTTGTTTATTGTTCAAGTAACTGACTCTGATTTGAATAGGTCGGGCTTTTAAATTTACAGATCTACAACTGATCTATTGTAGTAAAAGCACAATGGAATAGATGAGTTTGGGGCAATATACCTGATATTTTTTGTGTTAAAAGGTACAGGCATGGAAAGGTTAATTTAAAGTCTGTCTTGTCCATGTTAAAAAAGAAATCATGAACATTGAATTGTATTTATTAATATAAGCGAATTTGCCATATTAAGCAGCACTAGTTTGAACTACCATAATGAAGTAATTTCCAGTTAAATTAAGTCAGTGAAAACAACAAAACCAAACAGATGGGTGAGTTTTGATGAAAAAGGACCACGTAAACGTTGGAGCCATCTTGTCTTGTGCTTTGACTGCTAAAGGTCGGAATGCCCCCATCTCTCGGCAACAGAGACAAACTCCATCAGACTGTGGGCATTTAGTGAGAGAGACCATCTGTCCTTTTCCCTTAGCCAAAACCAACAAGTACCCAAGTATCACCTTAGAAAATATATGATTTTATTTGTAAAGTATTTGTAAAGTGTTAATAATTCTAAACACATCCTGGAAAAAACAATAAAAAACCACAACAATGAATATTATTTTAAAAATGGTTATATGAGACATTGTGGATCTCACGCACATAAGAGTAAAAATAATCACATCCTTGACTAAACCAGGCAAAAATAAATAATAATAATGTGTTTTAGCACTTTTCCAGACACTCAATTTGGATTTTCTTGCACTATTCATTCAATCACCAGTATCTTGACATGATGGTGGTACGCCATTTCCATACATCACAGCTGACCTGGGGAAGATGACCAATCTGCGCCATAAGCCTCTCCAAACAAAATAACAAATTCAAACATGAAAACAAAAACGCACAGGTTAGAGTTGGTATCAGTCCAACAGTCTTCCAAATAACACTTGTCTAACTCCAGTCAGATTTAAACTACAGATAGACAACCACTTTCTGTAAGCAATAAATGATAAGCAATTGTTCTTGATGTTAAATCCAGTTCTAGATACTGAATGTCTAGACTGGAATCACACGACAGCAAGGGCCTGTCCCGTGGAGCTTAGTCTAGGAAGTGATACATCTATGAGGCATTTCCATGATCCTATCTGCTCTTAGCACCCAGTCAATTACACAGCAGCACCAAACAACAAGTCCTATTACACTGAAGCCCATAGGAAACTGGAAAATCACATTCTTGCATCGAGAAGTTTGCACAGATTTCATTTCAATAATATAAGAGGACAATATTTGGATAGCTGTTTAAGTTGTTTGTTGACTAAAATTGTGCTCTATGTAACTTTTTGGTTGGGGTCTGACAGTCACCTGCTTGTTTCTGTAGATATGTCACTGATTTGCCTGAAATATTCCACGGTATGACATTAAAGAGCTCTACCTTATATTTATTCAATTACATGTAGTTTTATAGCTCAAACATACCCAGAAAAACATTCCTTCTGACTGTGAGCAGGAGTGCCTCTTCACAGATCTGACCTGTAACATGGTCTGGTCTGGTCTCCATGATGGTAGACATGTTTAATGCCATACTGTGAAACATTCCCGGCAGAGCGATAACATCTCCACTGAGAGAAGCAGCGGCTCCTCCACCAGAAAAGTTATACAATGCACCTTTAAAATAAATAATCATATTGAATTGTGACTTGGGATTATATTGGATCTTAGGGTCTATGAAATAAACTGCTGAAATAGATAAACAATTGCCATAGAGATGGACTCTACATAGACTGGAGATAGTGTTAGCATAGCATAGTACATTATAAATAACCTGAGCACACAGGAGAGACACAACAATCACATATCCCTCTTCTCTGTCATGACCTTGTTCTCACTGTATTTGGTGGTTTAACTCTCAACAATTTCACATGATTTAAAAATGTAGTATATTTAGTATATTTGCTATACACTAGGTTTGAGTTTTCAAAACCATTCATAGCCAGATACCAGAAAGTAAAATTAAAATTTATTTGAGCAGGTACTGATACTAAAATAACTGCTTAAATTACATATAGAGTATTATAATTCTCATTGTGGTATAATTTGTTATTGAGTATCAAGCCTTTTCATTACTATTATTCCTTTTAGTTTGATTTCATGTTTTTTAACCTCCAAAAGTCTTGTTGGCCCTTGGTCCATGTTTTTCTGTTCCTATGATGATGCCGTGTCACATCAGTTCAAAATACAATGATATATTTAGCGCTCCTGTGCCTCCTGTTCACATAGCCCACATTCCATCGGACATATTCTACTTTGCATAACAACTCCCCCTTTGGCCCCAAAATAACTTTTACTGTGGTACAGAGCTAACCCTGTGAAAACATATGATTGCAGGTGTCAAAAGTGTCACACAAGGACCTACACAACATGGGCAGCACTTGGGAGTGGGTTAAGGTTAAAAATGCTCAATTATACAACAAATTGACTTCTTGTTAATGGATACCAATATTGTAATTTACAGACCAACTCTATTCACTAAATAAACTAAATAAAAAACAGTAGTTAGAGCATCTAAATAAATACCTGTTTGGTTTAAGTTCAGGCCTGGTCATCATTGCAAGATAGCATCAGTGCCTTAGCAGATCTGTATGCTCTCAGAAATCATGCACACTGAAAAATTAAATGGTGTCGTTTGTTGTCACGTTTCCCAGTAACTTTCAATAACAGACATATTTAGCTGGAAAAGGGTGAGACAATACATCCTGTAACTTGCATTCCACCCATGTTGATGTCATTGGTCTCCCTGCCATGTTCCACAGTATGGCATTAAACTTATTATGCTGGCGTTAAGCAGGTGACACCACCAGGCAAAGTTACAGGTCAGATCTGTGGAGAAGGGGCTTTGCTCAGAGAGAGAATACATGTTTATTTAAGGTACTTCTTGACAATATAATCAATTCTGTTGAATCTTGTACTATAGAACTTTACGTACAAAGCAGTTAACTCATAAGACAAGCAGAGAGCAGACACCACACCAGAAATGTAACATAGTGCACCTTAAAAACAAATATTTGATTTCTGAGTTGTTTTATACTTACATTTTAGCATAAAAATCACAAAACTCCTTATATACTTTGACATCACTTTTCCTCCTCTGAGACTTGGATACCGGGACCTCTGCCTCTCCCATGTCCTGAAAGCGATGATGATATCCATTGATTTCACCTTGAAGTACGTGGTCTGGAATCTCTCCATCTTCTGGTATAGACGGAGGCAAGTGTCGCCCATTCACCTCCATTATTATCCAAAATCCAATCCCAAAGTTAAGGTTGAGTTAGTCCAAAATGCTATCCAGAAAGTTGTAAAAGTAGTGCTGGCTGGAGAAAAGTGGGACTACTCTCTCTCTGTGTTTAAGACACACGCCCACCAAAGTGAACGCACACCCACATCACTCTATTTTCCCCTCAGAGTTACACATGATCCATCCGTGCTCGTACGGCTATTCTTGGGCAGGCTGCTGACATCGGCGAGCCCACCCTGACGCCAGTCGGAGGTCACCGTGTCGTAAAAAATGTGTAGGGAGAGAGGGGAAGGAGGGAGGGGGGGAGGGGAGGGGGGAGGGAAGGAGGAGGGAGGGAGTGGAGAGAAGAGTGAAGAAAAGATATGAGAGTGAGTCAGGGATAGAGAGGGGTGACCAAGATAGAGAGAGAGAGAGAGAGAGAGAGAGAGAGAGAGAGAGAGAGAGAGAGAGAGAGAGAGAGAGAGAGAGAGAGAGAGAGAGAGAGAGAATGGATGGAAGAGACACAGGGAAAGACAGAAAACACAGAAGAGGCTGAGAAACGAGTGTGAGAGGAGAGAAAGAGTAAAGTTAAGGATAGATGTGGTAGTGAGGGATATAGGTAGTAAAAAGAGGGGATAAATAATGAGAGAGAGGGTGAGAGTGGGAGGGATGGAGAGAGGGAAAAAGATGAGATAAAGGGAGAAAAAGAATTTGCGTGAAAAATATAGAGGTAGGGAAAAGGGAAAAGAGGGGATAACGAGAGATAAAGGGAGATTAAAAAACAAGAGACACAGGGACACAAAGAAAGAGGAAAGGAGAGAGAGATAGAGAGAGAGGTAGAGAGACAGGAGAAAGAGAGAAGGGGAGGGAGTGGGGGGAGAGAGAGAGACATGGTAGTCTGACAGATGAGAGTAATTGATATCAACAGCTCTGCTTCCTGTGGCACCAGATCAGAATTTAGTCTGCACATGTCACTACGTTCAAGAGAATAATGGATGGAGGGATCAGCTGTTGACAAGGGTGAGCATCCAGGAGTAACAGAGTCCTGCATAGTGAGCTCTATGCAAATGTGTTTGTACAGGATTTCATACTATTTGGTAGAGATTTTAAGTTTAATAAGCAAGGCTGATTATTTAATAAGAATTTAGGATAGTAAATAGATTGGTCAAAGTCACATGTAGCATATTACAATTATTAGAAGCTGTTTTTTCTATTATATTTCTGAGAATATTATGAACAATAAAAATGTAAGTTAAAAATCTAATGTGATTTTCTAGCGAGAATTCCATTAATTTCAGTAGAGGGCTAACAGGGTTAATAAAACTGGATATTTTTTGTTTACAGTAAAATACATACACTCCCAAATACATACCAAAACTCATGGTATTAAACAAATAAACAGCAATATGTCAGTTATGCTTTAACAACACACTGACAAAGTGTGATGTCTTCAAAGATTTAGATAATCTTGCCTATTACAGCCTCCTTGTACATGTTTATTTTAGTCCAATACGAGCAATAGAGCCAAAATAATATTATCAGCCTGTTTGTTGTAAGAGTATATTTGTTAATGATTTCAGAGCAGCCCTGGCATTCACATACAACTTTAAATCTGTCTATGAAAATGATAGCTCTTGTGTGGTTCTACTCAAGCATCCCAAATGAATGACCTCCATGCTAACCACGAATGACGGCATTAAACCAAACAGGGAATAAACTCCAGTGAGAAGATTTAAGCAGGATTTTTTACTTTAACAAAACAAGTGCTCAACATTTCTTGGCGTTTACTCTGTCTAGTTGAAATATTTCTCTCTGTGGTATACAAAAGTTCTTCTACATGACTCCATCCCTCTACAAATAGAGAGAGAGAGAGAGAGAAAGAGAGAGAGAGCCCTGGGTCTAAACTAGGTACCGGCAGCTGCTCTTTAGTGTCTATGGGTGAGACTGTGGACATAGCTGGGGCCAAAAGCTTCCTACTATAAAGCTGTACAAAGCTTTCGGCATCATTAAAGTTATCTAGGTTTTTGTTTACTATAAAGACCTCATGATGTAAAATGTGAGTGTTTTACTGTAGAATACAGTAATACAATACAGTATTGATTACACAATAGAAAAAGGAACATCATTCTTAAAGGTGCACCATGTATCAGGGTTTGCCACTTGCTTATCTCCATGGAGGGTCAACGTTCTGCCAGGAATGTTCCACAGTATGGCATTAACCATATCTATCTTTATTCAACATTCGTTCTTATTGTTAAATAATTATTTTATTGATCCATAACTTTTCATCACTAAGTTGTTTCCATGCAGATAGATTTTAATTTAGTTTAGAGATAGTTTTTATTAAAGTTTATTCCCATACTGAGGAACAGTCTAGGGAAAAGTATAACATATCCATGGAGACAAGCAGTTGATGAACCCTGCTCCAGAAAAGTTACACTGTGTACCTTTAATTCACTTCAAAATTCAGCTATCTTAAGAGCTATATTATGTATTTTTGTGACAGGTAATGTAAACTTATAAAGTATTATTAGATATGTGAACTTGTAGTTTAATTCTTAAGACTGGTGCTTTATTAATACAAAATCACCAACTGTAATAAGAATCCAGTCAGTATATAGAATATATCTGACAAATCTAATATTCAAATTATTGCATCCAACTGTTCGTTAGCTCCAGTTGCAGAAAAGTTACAAGATCATTCGTGGTGATGACATGCTATTTTAAAAACAGGTTGGCTTTGAGTATCTGGACCAATCTACACTCTATAAATTAACATTACCCAAGTCAAATGCAATGCTATTGAGTCCTCTAACCCCTGTCTACTCCACACTAAGTCACCTGTCTGCTGCTTGACGACATGCTCTTATACATAGTACATGTGTGTGTGTAATGTATTCTTAAGTATTGTTGGAGCTGGTGAGGACAGACAGACGCACAATGGACAAAAGCACAGAACAGGAAACAACAACTAGAGTCAAAACCTCGAGACCCGCTCAGAGTCGTCACACTAACAATGAGAATCACTAATGAACAAAACACTAGAAAACACATATCTGCACATTCGTACTATAGTTTTATATACACTCAGGCTCCAAGAACATATTTATATGCACGGCTGGGCAATATGGCAAAAAAATCTGTACCACTTTTTATAATTACTGCAACTTATTTAGCCTTAATAAAGCATCAATAAAGACTTATTTTTTAATGAACAAATGTTTTAGTCCTATTAGGTCCATTAGGTCTTCGTGTTATTATGATAAAAAAATTGTTATAGTCAGACTTGAATGTTTTTTGTAATTGGTCACATTCTATATAACACTTTTATACCTTCAAGGCACTCAAAGTTTTTCACACTCAGACACCCTCATACACGCAGACACTGGGGGCAAGGGGGGGTTAAGTGTCTTGCCAAAGGACAGAACTGTATTTATCTTTGTCAAGTATGTTGAGTATGACAAACATCTCATTCTTAATAAACTTCTTTGTTCTTGCAACCAAAAATATATATAAATCAAAAGTCCAAAATCACATGCTTAGTTCTTCCTAACTCCAATTTAATGGATCACGATTTGACTGAAATTCAATAGTAAAACCCTATAGTACAGTAAACTGGTGAGACATGCACTTTATAAATAAGTTATATCCGCAAATATGCCTCACTGGTCTCTGAGGTGACCTGTGTATGAAGGAGTTGTGTGTATTGCCGGGCAGACAGACATGTTGACATAACAAACATAATTTTGATGGCAGTATCAGCTATCCATTAACTTTCCATTGCTTGAATATGATTCATACAGGAAAGGAGAACTGGTTAATGGCTTAAAAAAGTAAAGTTAAAAGTTGAAAGTCCATGACTTCCTTGTTCCTAGGATTCATGAAGGGTCTGCAAAGGTCAAAGTTCAAAGCATGTATCTACTAAACAGCTTGAAACAGAAATGATCTCTGTAGCAACAAATGACGAAACCAGGTTTTATTAGGAAACCCCATTATTAGGCCATATATCACACAGAGAGTTCAGATAACATTTGTGTGACCCTCTCCACTGCCCTGACCCTCCCATCCGCTGAGAGCCAAATGGCCACAACAAACCCAACACGCCCTGTTCCCACTTTTAAGCACACACTCTGAGTCAACAGTCGCCATGGTAACGCAGACGAAAGGGCCCGGGTCTAAAACTCATGAATCAAAGATATGGGCAAACAGCAGCAGCTATGAGTGACTATTATATTACTATTGCTTTATGGCGTACTTTTGGTTACAAGAAAGTCCTATAAAGGATACTAGTCATTCAAACAAGGTGTATGTCAAAGGAGGATAAAGCTTCTTTCAAATTTGAGCAAAAAATCACTAGTGCATTAGTAACAAAGATAAACCAATATTAACATTACTATTACTGTCTGAGACCACTTCAATTCTGCAGCAAAACAAAACAAAACTGCATGACCAAAACTATACAGATATTAGTAAAAGACAAAAAGTAAAACTGTGCAGCTGTTGACCATGGTTTTCACAAGATCTTTTTGTGAATCGATCTTTACCACTCATGTGACAAAAACACTACCATCCTGCACCCCATATTAAATCTCATTTGCTAAAATTAAACAACCAACAATGTCAATGTCACACAATAGATATGGACTACTTATTACTACACAGCTATTAAAACTTAACCTATTTTTACTGTCACGTGTGGTGTTTCTACCAGGTTTAAAATGAACTTTGCATTAAAGTAGATTACATTTTAGCATAAAAAAATTCATTTGTAGACAATTTATTTATTTTCTTGAATTATGCACGTCAGATCTGTCACCTCACTAAAAAAGATAAATATTTTTCCACAGTAGTTTTGAGCAACCTGTAAATCAACATTTGCAAGATAGATAGGTTTAATGGCATACTATGGAACATTCAAGGCAAACCATTAACATCTGAGTGGAGTCAAGGATGTATGTTACCAGAAAAGTACCAGAAAAGTTACATAATGCACTTTTAGTAATCCATAATGAGCTCAATGAACCAGGGCATATATATTAAAAAAAGCTTTTCAGGATAACTATTTATTTATCCTTTTGTTTAGCTGCTTCTGTTTCATATTATATTCGCTCCTATGGGTCCACTGACTTGTTCTTTCACATCTTTGTTTTTACAATGTGTCCTACAACAGCACAGGGAATCTCCACAGACAGCCCTGAGGCACTTTCAATAAAACACTCAGTAAAGTGGGTCTAC